ATCATCCCTGATTCAGTCGATATAAAATATAGCTTGTCTAAGTACTGGACTTTGGCACTAAAAAATAACACAGCGCGCGATACTGATGTGCTGGTATCGATATATTAGACAGTTTGTTTTTCAGAGCACAAGGATTCCGGTATATTATATGCTTTACGGGGTATTTTGCGGGCTTAATTTAATATTAGGACGTTGGGGGTACATGCAATGGTAGCACCTAATAATGAGGAAAATTAGTAAATAGTAATTTGGACGCATGAAGAGCAAGGGAATTAGTGGTAGATAAATATAAAAATACAGTCCGATAGCGAGTAATTTTTATATGATTATTTCCATTATTAACCGACTTTTATCTCTTCGCTATTTATGTCAGTGCATATTTTTTCCATATGAACGGGGAGGGTAGCCTACAGCCGACGCCATTCCCGCCGGATGCGCTGGTGGGCGTTAACATATATTTTAAATATTAATATATTTTTTTTTTTGTGTTTTGTGTAGTTATAAAGCAGCTTGTACAATTTAACATTAGTTAAAGGGTATAATAGGGTCTTTAACAGTGTCCATACTCCTAGCAAAAACTTGGTTGACCAGAAACAATGACGTCACATTCCACACATACTGACGTTTTATGTTTTTACTTGTTGCTTGAATCCATATTTTGTATTGAAGTCAATAAGAAGGAGTCTTTCAAATTAAGTAGCCCCATGGGAAATTGATTCATCAATCGGATAAAATTATGTGTGTATTGCTGAGGGTCCTAGCTATATAGCAATATTAAATCGAATATCAAAATCGAGGAATGTCAACGCATATCTTTTGTCTGTCAGTATATTTACGGTATATTTCTGAGGGTCGTATGTCATATTTTAAAGATAAATCCGCGGTCACACTGATTCCATTTCCCTCGACGAGAGCTTACAAAAATTTGTTTTAGAATCCCCAAAAGCGACGGCCAGTTATCCGAAATGCTGGCCCCGGCCCCACTAACCAAGATCACGCGCATCGAGATCGATATCAACAAGTTGGGAAACTGGGCCAAAGTAAAGAGGACGCCGGTTCAGGTATACGATGTGTCCGAGCGGGTGTTCACATCGATGCAGAACCTGGATATCACCTCGCTGGCCAGCTACCCAGAGGCCGAGATTCGGCCGGTGCTGCCATCGCTGGTGCGCATGAGTTTGCTCTCGCCGCTGGACAACACCACATCGTCGATGGAGTCGCGCAAACAGATTCTGGCCGTTCTCATTGGCATCGAGGTGGTGAACAGCATAGTCTCCTATCTGCAGGTCAACTACCACGAGCTGGAAAACGAACTGAAGAAGGAACTGCAGACGCGCCAGAAGACCCCCTACTTTGAGGGCCAGCAGCAGGAGTACGGACTACAGTCGGGCATTGCCCTGGGCTTCGAGCGGGCCGATGTGGCGCGTAAGGTGCGCGTCGTGCTCTCCGAGATATTCAATCTGCAGCAGCAGGTCTCCGAGCAGAAGCCCGCCGCCCACTCTGAGATGCTCGACGATGGCATCTACCTCGAGGAGGTGGTGGACATCCTGTGCATAGCCCTGGCCGAACTACCTTCCCTGCTCAACATTCTCGAGCTGACCGATGCCCTGATTAGCGTGCCCAACGGCTATCGCATCATCACTGCGCTGGTGGCCAATTTTCCCGACTGCTATCGCGATGTTGTCTCCCACGTGATTGCCAACTACGACGAGGACGGCAGTGACGGCAAGCACAGGCTATCCCTGCTAATGTCCCTCAGCGAAATGAACCCCACCCAGGCGCTGGCCAATCGAACCCTGTGCGTGGAGATGATGAAGGGGCCCTCCTTCATGCTTAAGCTGGCGCTCAAGCATTCAGACGATCTGGTGAGTTGTGTGGTCCCGCGCCCAAACGATAATCCATTCTAATTTTTGCCGATGTTCTCTATAGATCCCCTTCCTTACGGGCTTGCTGCTGGGAAACGATCAGAACCTGCGCTGCTGGTTTGCGATCTACACACGCTCCAGCCAGAAGCGCAAGGGCGATGCTCTCAATCTGGTGCGTGTGGAGCTGCTGCAGAAGGTCGTAAAGACGACCACAAATGCGGCAGAGCTGAAGGACTTCAATCTGCAGGGCGTGGTGCTGATGCGGCTCTACTGCGCCCTGCGTGGCATCGGCGGATTAAAGTTCAACGACGACGAGATCAATGCGCTGTCGCAGCTGGTAACGAGCCGGCCACAGCCGACGCCATCGGGTCTGAGGTTCGTCACACTGGGGCTGTGCATGCTGATAGCGTGCCCCTCGCTGGTGTCGACCATTCCGCTGGAGATGAAGGCCATCGAGTGGCTGCAGTGGCTGACGCGGGAGGACGCCTTCTTCTGCAAGCGATCGGGGACAAGCACTTCGCTGGGGGAGATGCTTCTCCTTCTGGCCATCCACTTCCACAGTAACCAGATCACGGCCATCAGCGAAATGGTCTGCTCCACATTGGGCATGCGCATACCCATCCGGCCGAACAGCACCAGCCGGATCAAGCAGCTCTTCACCCAGGAGCTCTTCACCGAACAGGTGGTGGCCCTCAAGGCGGTGCGGGTGCCGGTGACGCCCAATCTGAGTGGGACCATACCCGGCTACCTGCCCGTGCACTGCATCCACCAGCTGCTCAAGTCGCGCACCTTTCTCAAGCACAAAGTGACAATCAAGTCGTGGATCTTCAAGCAGATATGCAGCGCAGTGCGACCCATCCATCCCGTGATGCCCGCTTTGGTGGAGGTATTTGTCAACACACTGATTATCCCGAATCCCACCGGCAAGGTCAACATCGATCACATCCACATGCCCTTCACCGAGGTGGAGATCCTGCACGTGTTTCGCACCTCCCAGCTCACGCTGTTCGGCGAAGACCTGCCGCCGATGGCGGAGAGCGAGGAGCTGGCCAAGGTCGAGATCAGCTGCCCCCTCACCGCCCAGCTGCTCATGATCTACTACCTGCTGCTTTACGAGGACACGCGCCTGATGAACCTCAGTGCCATCGGCGGCCGGAAGCAGAAAGAGTACGCGAACAACTTCATGGGGGGCCTTCCGCTCAAGTATCTGCTGCAGAAGGCCCACAAGTACCACGGCGAATACCAGTTTCTGTTCCATCCGCTGCTGCGGCTGATCATCTCCAATTACCCGCACTTGAGCATGGTGGACGACTGGCTGGAGGAGCACAATCTGACAACCCTCGGCATCGAAGCCCTTGACTGTCCCAGTCCCGAACTGACGCCCGACCAGCTCAGCCGCGCCCTCGAGCACATCCAGACGAAGCCCCGGCTGGCGATACGCATCTTCAAGCAGCTCCTGCAGCTGCCCGCCGAGTCGCTGGCCCAGTACGGCCAGCAGCTGGTGAAGCATATGCCGGTGGTCTTTCAGAAGTCGGTGTCCCGCTACATCAAGGACCTGTTCCACGATCTCTGGCTGCGGCTGAATGCGGTGCTGCCCACCACGCTGTGGGTAATGTCGCTTCGAGCCATCACCAATAGCGCGGACTCGATTAATCGCCGCACCTTCGCCAATGAGAGCCTGCTGGAGCCCATGGAAGTGCTGAGGTAAGTGCATCTTTATATACAGCTTTTCTTGAAGTATCTTGGAGTATATACTGTCATACTCCGCACAGCTGTCCCAGGCAAGTGTTCTGCTCGCCATACCTGCTGATGATCATGCTGCGCATTCTAAAGGGCAGCCTGGCCGCCTCCAAGACATACCTGAACGTGTACATGCAGCAGAAGCAGGTGCTGGACAAGAACGGTCTGGTTCAGACAGACGCCGACCGGGAGGAGCTGAAGACGACACTGATTGCCTCGCAGGAGAGTGCTGCGGTACATATACTGCTTGAGGTCTTGGAGTACATGTCGAACAATTCCAAGGATCGCCTGTCACATCTGGAGCTGCGCGAGATCCAGGGCATCATTGGGACCTATGTGCACCAGGCTTTTATCTCAGAGCCGTCACTGGCCAAGCTGGTGCACTTCCAGACGTATCCCAAGTCGGTGATCCCGATGATGGTGGCCAGCGTGCCGTCGATGCACATTTGCATCGACTTTGTGCACGAGTTCCTCAACGTCAACGAGATGGACAAGCAGATATTCACAATTGAGCTGACCTCCCACCTGGTGCTCAATTACTCGATACCCAAGAGTCTGGGCGTGTCCAAGTTCTGTCTGAATGTGATACAGACGACGCTGTCGCTGCTCACCGTCTCCTCCAAGTGCAAGTTCCTGCGCCACGTGCTGCCGGCGATGGTGCGGTTCGTCGAAACGTTCCCCATACTGGCCGACGACTGTGTCAACATTCTGATGAACACCGGCCGCAGCCTCCACTCGCAATCGTCGCTGGGCGTGACCACAATGGAAATGCCTCTCACGGAGAGCGCGAAGCTCTGGTCGTACCGGGATGCTCAGATGCATATCGTACTGATAGAGGACGCTTTCAAAGCCCTGGTCTCCGCGGTGATGCGGAAGTCCGAGTTGTATTAGCCCAATACAGAATACAGAGAATATGCTAGAATAATATAGAATCCATATCCATAGATGTACATAATTCCCCTTGTACCTTTCCCTGCCCCTGCCCATGCCCTGCCCATCCTTCTACCAATCTCCAAACTTGTTATGTGTAATAAAATTCATAAAATGACCAAAATAGCAAAATAAACACTTCCATGAAATATACTATAATATACGATACATTTTAACGTTATCGAGATCCTGCAACATTTCGCAATATTCTGAAACATGTATCCAAATTTATAGTTGGCTTGGCAATATTCCACAATATAAATTCAATCCAAAACTCAAACATTGCTTTGTTGCCGAAAATTCTTCGCAACATCTATTTGCTTTTGTAATGGAATATTTATTCTGAAATTTTGTGTAATTGTCGCAAAGTTTAATCGATAACACTATCGTATATACACGATATAATATTATGTATATTGTACGATATATATAATATTATACTATCGCATCCATGCTATCGCTGGGTGCATTTTTGTTGTTATTAAAGCTCAGCTCGGATGTGGAATAACTTTTATTAGTATATTTATACCGTTTAATTAAACGTATTGGAGCTGTGAAAGTGCAACAATTGTGAGTAAATGTTGAACAAAACTCGAGGCAAACTAAGACTTTTCACTGGCGTCGGGAGAAGTTTTTCCTCAGTTTTGTGTGTGTTTTACGATGCTATGCTGATTCGTAATTGTCTTCTTGTATACGTCGTGTCTTGCTCGCTCGCTCGCTCGCTCTTGGTCTTGGCTCTCCCAAAGGCATCTCTCTATGGCCCGTGCCTGTGTATGAGTGCTCTCGTGCGTGTGGTGTGTGTTCGCCCGTGTTTGTGTCTGTGCAAGCTGGTTGGAAAATAATTAAAGCAAATACAAGTATAATTTGTTGTTAGAGTTTGGTTAATGCCAACATTAGAAACAAACGCAAAGAATACAACAGAAGAAAGAAAGGAAAGTAGCTTGTCTGATTATTCGCCCCGTGGCCCTGCTTCTCCTTTGTGCGCAACTGCAGGTAATTGTCGCAACTCGTGTGTGAGAGAGAGTGACTCTGTAGAGCGAGGGAGAGCAGTAGAGATGAGAGTTGAAGTGGGAGTGGGAGAGAGACGGTGATGGAAAGACGGATGCGGCAACAGTGTTTTCTGCATCAAATCCGAAATTCGGCTGGAAACAGTTCAATGAAGTTACACAAAAATTGTTTGTACTCTATCTCTCTCTCTCTCTATCTATCTCTATACCCCCCGGTTCTATCACTGCCCCACCCGTCGCATATTCCACTGCACTTGCAGCCAGAACTACTATCGACTCCCTACCCCCGCCCCTCTGCCCAAGGGGCTTGGTAAAGTGAATTGAGAAGCAAGAACAACAATAACCGTAGACTAAGGCTAGCTTCTGCTTTGTCGTTGTTATCGTAGGCCCTGCAGTTGCTCTTGTTGTTGTTGCTGTTGCTGTTGAGCAGCCCGGGAATGTAGATTGTACAGGAAATCTGTTGCTGGAACACTTTCATCTCTATGGGGGCCCTGCAGCAGAGAAGCAGCACCAGCACCGCTGTCCAGTGTCTGCGTCTCCAATTTCGATTCTGCGTGCTGCACTTGCAGTTGGAGCACAACACACACACATATGCATACCCGTACCCTCTCACACACACACGTGGAGGAGGGTTTCGCTTGCAATAATTTGTAATGCCGGAAAAGCTCAATTAATGTTTAGAGTACGAATAGAGTAGAGTAGTAGTAGGGGGTAGGGGGACTAGTGCTTATGTTTATTTGCATTTGACTCTGGTTTTACTTTCGCCCTCTTTGCCCCTCCCCTCTCCCCATTTCGCCCCACCAATGTTTATTGAATAGTGAGTGGTACACACCCACACGACTGCAGCCGCAGCAACAATTCGTATTTTTCCCCCCCATTCAGTAAATGTTGTGGAGAGCTGGAGAGCGCGAGCAGCAGGAAGGAGAGAACAGGATAACAACAGCAACATCTGAAAATTAGGAGTGAGAAAAATGCACTAGCAACAACAACAAAAACAAAAATCCACCCACATTGAGTGGATGCGGCTCACCTCTCTCTCTCTCCCTCAGTTATCGGAGGCTTGCTCTTGCTCTCTGGCTCTCACGCTCACTCTCTCTCTCTCTTTTGCTGTCTTGCGCCGTTTGTAGCAGTCAGCAGGCAGGCAGTAGACAGCAGCAGCAGACAGCAGCAGCCAGCAGAAGCAGCCGCAGTCAAGACAGAAAAAGGATTTGTGTTGCAGACAGATTTTCCCATAGAAAAATGCTGTAAAATCCAGGTACTGGCACGGTAATGGAGCACGGTCTAGGACGAAAAAAAAGTAGCGGGTATTGCAGGCAATTGTGAAATCAGGCGGAAACCATTTGCAGTTCGTAGTCAATTTGGGGAACATTTTCCGCTTTGCACCGGCATAGACAACAAAAAAGGAAAAAAATAGAGTCCGTTTTTCTTTTGTCACCACAGCAGCCGCCAGGCTCTCTCTCTCTCTGTTTCTCTGTGCGGCAGAAATGTGTGTCGGGCGGGGGGGTCCATCCGTGGATGTATCCGTAGCTGCGTAGTCAATCGTATCTTGTGGGTGAAGCAAAAGTCTAGGGAAAATTGTGCAAAGATGCGAGGAGGATCCTCCTCATCCAATCTGCTGACACCTCTCCTCTTTTTCCAGGTGCTTCAAAATGCGTCAGTTCAACATCTCGGTCATTGGACTATCCGGTACCGAAAAGGATCGCGGCCAGGTGGGTGTGGGCAAGTCATGCCTGTGCAACAGATTCATGCGGCCGATGGCCGACGACTACTTCATCGATCACATATCAGTGCTCAGCCAGAGCGACTTCAGCGGCCGGATCGTGAACAACGACCACTTTCTGTACTGGGGCGAGGTGCGCAAGACCACGGAAGAGGGCGTCGAGTACAACTTCAATATCATCGAGCAGACAGAGTTCATGGATGACTCCACATTCCAGGCCTTCAAGGTGGGCAAAATGGATCCCTATTCAAAGCGCTGCACCGCCACCAAGGTCTTCTCGGCGGAGAAGCTCATGTACATATGCAAGAATCAGCTGGGCATCGAGAAGGAGTACGAGCAGAAGGTGATGCCCGATGGGCGGCTGAGCATCGACGGTTTTGTCGTGGTGTTCGACGTCAGTCCCGTGCCAAACCGCAGCGTGGAGAAGCAGGTGGAGTTCGTTCAGAATGTGATCGCCACCATTGTGAAGAACAAGAAGCCGCTCGTCCTGGTGACCACCAAGAACGACGACGCGTACGAGCTGTATGTGCGCGAGGCGGAGAAGATCAGCCAGCGGAAGGACTACAAGAGCACGGTGCAACTGATCGAGACGTCGGCCCACGAGAGCATCAACATCGACTTAGCCTTCCTCATGCTCGCCCAGATGATCGACAAGGTGAAGAATCGAGTGAAGATCATCTCGTACCAGGAGTCGGCCAAGTCGCGCAAGGAGCTGCTGGACACTAGATCGGAGGCCGTCACACGGCTGATACGCAACCAGATCACCGACTATCACATCCTCTGGTCGCAGGGCTCCAAGATGCTCTCCCAGTACCGCGAGTGGAACGAGTTCTTGAACATATTCGGCCACGAGGCAGGCCAGAAGCTCTTCCGCCGCCACATGAAGAAGCTGCGCGATGACCACCTCAATAAGAAGCTCCACCAGTATCTGGTCAAGTTCGCCTTGGCCCTCGAGTACATGCTGCCGGATATCGGGGCCCTGAACATCATCGATGACGATGCCTGGGACTGTGCCCGCAACTATCTGCAGAACCACATTGAGTTCGAGCAGTACTTCTTTGAGTGCCCTCAGGCCTCCTGGACCGAGCTGGTCGACATGGACGAGGCCGAGGACGAGGCGCGCATCCCCTTCGATGTGCTGGAGACCTCCGAGGCAGAGACAGTATTCCGAAATTATCTGAATTCCGTGCAGCAGGACAAGAAGAAGATTGGGTAAGTCTACCAAAGCAAACAATCCTGACAATCTGACCTGACAGAGCCGATACTCATTCTTTTCTTTCTGTTAATCCTCAGCTGGAAGCAGCAGTTCAAGATGCTGCTGGAGGAGTCCGGGTTTGTCACGCCCTGGCAAGCAACTGTCCGAGGTGCGCGTCCTGTTCATGGGTCGTGAGTGCTTTGAGGCCCTCTCCGAGCACGACTGCCAGCAGATTTACGATATCCATCAGGACGAGATCATCGAGAAGAGCAAACAGAACTTTGTCGAGCTGCTGCTGGAGCACGCCCAGTACTTTCTGCAGTTCAAGAACGTTGACATTATCACGCAAGAGGATGTGCGCCAGATCACGGACGTCATCCAGGAGGACTCGCGCTACAAGATGCTCGACCGCTTGGACCAGGAGCGGCGGGTGATGCTCGTCCAGCATCTGCGCTTCATCCACTGCCCCATACGCGACCATTGCCCCTTTTTCAACAACTGTGTGGACAGCGTGATCGATGAGGTTCTCTCCGACAAGTCGACCACAAGCAACCACAAGACTCCGGGGGGAGTGGGCGTGGGCGTGGGAGTTGGAGTTGGTGTCGGTGGTGGCTGGAAGACGACTGGCAATGGTAGCGATCGGACGCTTAATCTGCTGATCGTCGGATCGGAGCACCTGGCCAGCGATTTGCTCAACGACATCCGCATCTGCACGGGCAGCAAGGGCGAGTACATCTACGAGAATCAAACGTACTATCTCAACTATCGCATAGCCAACGGGGACATGGAGGCCTTTAAGGCCATCGATGTCTATTCGAGTGGTGAGTGGACATGCCAAACAGGGATCTTGCAGCTCCTTCTCCTCCTTTCAATTTTCTCATGGTAAACACTCCACACTTTCCACTTTTTTGTAGGCCTCATCTGCGTGTACTCCAATCAGCAGTCGTTCGAAACGCTCAAGGACAACCTGGAACGGACGCTTCTGTGCAACCTGGAGCTGGAGGATAAGTTCGAAAATCTGCCCATTGTGCTGGTATACCAGCCGCAGGACCTCAAGGAGAACGAGGTCGAGTATCTGCGTAGCGAGGGGATGCGTCTCTCGGAGATGCTGCACTGCGATTTCATCGATCACACGCAGAACCACCAGAAGTACGTCTACGACATTCTGAACATTGTCATCCTGTCGTTGAAGCTGACCGAGATGAAGAGCTACGATCCGTATCCCTCCAACCACACCGATCTCCGCATCCTGTGCTGCATCTTCTGCGGCGATCAGTACGATATCGAGAACATTGTCCAGCCACTGGTCGCCGAATCGACGCTTGTGAAGGCCAGCGAGCACTCGATCATTGTCGATGTGTTCATTGGGGATGCCAAGCGGCGGGTGGAGTTCATAATCTCCTCCTACCATGGCACCAACCAATATCGGGATGAGCTCATCCACGGCTACATCTACTTTTACTCGGCTAAGCGTCGCTCGTCCCTGGCCAATCTCAGGTAGGAAATGGGTGGATAGGGTAGGGATCTTTGCAAGCGGCTTGCCTTTTACTAATTTATGCGTTACGTTTACAGCATTTTGGCCGCCCAGAATGCCAACATTCCGTTGCAGCTCATTGCGGTGACGGAGAGCGGAGGCGTCAATGCGTTCTTTAACAGCGATATCTGTCAGTTTCTCATTACCGAAGGCAATGCCCTGGCCGATCGCTTCAAGGGGAGTTTCATGACATTCTCAGCGGATCAGTATGTTAAATGTAAGTGGATCCATGTCAATCCCAGCCCCTGCCCCTGCCCTAAGCTGTGCCCTTGATCATGTTGTTGAATGTTGATCTGTTGTTGCAGTTGCATTCTATAATCCATTCCTGAAGACCGCCTGGGACAACAAGTACGAGGTGGAGAACCTGCATGTGGAGGAGTCAATTACTTTAGATTCGGGCGAGGGCACGCTGGAGAGCTCGGTGAACCAGATGCCACGCCCACCGCCCCGCCACGAGAGCTATATGCTGTCGAACACATTGGGCACCGATGGTTCCGGCAGTGAGAATTACGAAATGCTTCCTACCCGATCTCTCAACTCATTAAATGGTAAGAGGACAGATGGCCAGAGAAGGAGAATTAATAAGCCGCCAAAAATAGCAGATGCCCCTTTCATGTATTGTTTTCATTTTCGTTTCGTATGTTCCGCAGAAGAAAGAGATATATCATTAGATGAAATCTACGACGAAAACAACGAAAAGCCCAAGCACCTGCACCAAAGTAAGTTCCATGCTGCCAGCCACTAAAACCCACTAACCCAAAGAAAAAAAAGAAAACAAAACTCTGACCAAGCCAAACCCAAAAACCAAAACCAAACCTCAAGCAAAAACCAAACCAAAAACCTCAAAACCAAACAAATACCGATTCAGAATATTCGTGCGCCATAAAACAAACACCAATCCAGTAGTACAATATAAATATTATAATAATAACTAGCATTCCCACCTACCTGCCTCTACCTAACTACATATATACATATATATATATATATATATGTATATATATGTATATATATCTCATATACATATGTATAGATTCATTCATATATTATATATTCATTCATTCATTCCATTCTCATTACCATTTCCATATCCATATCTCATTCTCGCCAAAAATACATAAGTGCGCCATATACTCCATATATATATTATATATACAATATATACTATAATCTATAATGATTAATGATAATTATGAATTAATTAATTAATTAACGATTCATCTTAACCAACTTTTTAATCGATTTATCTCTGTGTGTGTGTCATTTGTTGTTGTCATTTTTTTGCCTATTGCAAATCGAAATTATTTGCTCAAACGAAAAAAAAAAAAAAAAAACAAAAAATACTCGAATTAAAAAACAAAAACCGAAAACTATATAAGGATTCCAGATATTCCCTCCTCCAACAACTCCTCCAGAGCCAGCCCCTCCAGATCATCAGCTCATTACATGCACATATAAGAGTCAATTCGTTTCGGCTTCAGAATCAAGTTTGGAAGAAATAACATGTAATCTAACTATTTGAATATATTTCACCCTATTTCTCCCTATTCCACCTATAGTTTATTTCTCTCTCTCTCTCTCTCTCTCTATGTCTCGCTCTCTCTCTCTCTGTTTTCTATATTTTAGACTTTTTTGTTATTGATCTGCTCTTCACTCTATAAAAAAACACCACAAAAAAGATCACCAACTCCTCGTATCCCCCTCCACCTGCACTGCTGGCAAGCTCTTTCAGTGCTTTCCTCCATATCCCTCCCCTCCGATTCCCCAAGAAAGTTCTGGTTAGGCATAGACCTTGCGGATGGAGATCCTTCATATATGTACATGTGTATTAAATAATAGAGATCTTTGTACAACATTTAAGCTTCCATCTCTCGAAATCGAATCAAATGTATCTTTGAGTCGCCTCCGAACTGAGGAACACTCCCTTTGCCTATAAAGAAAATTTCCTGAAATATCTATTGATTTAGAAAGTCCCTGAGAGTTAAATCAAACTTTCAGTATACTCAACTTTGTAGCAGTTCCAATACGTTTGTCTGACACAAATACGTAAATTTTAAACCATTAAATGAAGCAATTTGTCTGTCTTATTGCTTGAATTTAAATCCCCAAGCAGAGGGGATTGGGACATGATCCCTGAAACATCCGAAACTATGTCCTTGTCCATTACAGGACAACATATGCAACAGATCCTAAATTGATCATAGGCGTTTTCGAATCCTAGAGTGCCCAGAAACACCGCAAGGGCTATACAGCCAACTCTCCTTCCTCCCTTACCCTTCACCAAGCAATGCTTTCCCTTGAGTTTCCCCAGCGCCTTCCTCCTTTACCCATTTCCGCTTATTAGTTACGTATTGGTTACCTTTTTCGTGTTATTTTCTTTTCTGTTTCGGTTGTTGATCCTTGAGTTTTGCAGGCCGCGAGCTGCCTGAAAAGTTATATACATACATAAATAATATCTATGTACATACATACTATATAAACCATGTATCTATTATCCCACAAACCCCGCCACCACCCCACCCCACTCTGACCCCAAACATTGATTGGAATCGAATATTGTACAAAAGTTATTTCGTTCGTTTGCTGTTCTCGTTCTTGTTCTCGTTTTGCTTTGCCATCTCTTTGCTCACCCTTTCCCTCTCCCACTCCCACTCCCACTCCCACTCTCCCTCTCTCTCTCTCTCTGTTTTTGTGGAAGCTTCTCCCATCCATCTGCAGCGCTGAGTCGAACCGAGACTGATCTGGTTTCTTCCTTCTGGTTCTCGTTTCTCTTCCCCCAAATTTGTAAACTCACGCACACACACACACACACAAGCAGCGGATGTCAGCGGGTCGAAGGATTCATTGGCCACCCACGATGCAGGTTAATCTCTTAATGCTCCTCCACTCCATAATGTATCACGCACGCACCCCCTATAGATTATTCCCAGCTAGCTGCCTGATTAACCCCCACCCCCACCCCCACCCGACTCATGCTCCTCCTGTGCCTGCACGCAGTTTGCTCCGCTACACCTCTCCCCCTACACCCCTCAATTTTAGCTGTAGATGGTAGTCTGCTCCCTCTGATGAGGACTGTTGAAGCGGGAGAGAACCGAACGAACCGACACTCCTCTCTTAGGCCTGCCTAATCCGATCTCCCACTCTCTTTCCAAATCAGAATGGCTGGAGGACAAGAGCGATGGGCGACGCAACATGAACAAGAACTCGATATGGAACAACTTCAGTGGCTCCACACACGCCTACACCACGGGCCGGCGGCACATTGACTCCAATCTGAACAAGATCCGTCCGAAGGGTCCCAGCCAAACGCTTAAGGTGGGCGAGGCGCCCAGCCGCAACTGCCCGGCGATGAGCTCCTCCACCTTCACGCTGCCCACACAGCCGCCGGGCAAGCTGAACATGAAAAACTTCCAGCTGGTCAGCGAGGCGGTGGCCAAGATGAACTTCACGGGCTCAGGATCCGGGTCGGGCTCCGGCTCCGGCTCTGGGTCGGGCACTGGCCTGGGCCTCTGCACCGGCAGTGGCAGCATGGCCGACTCGTATCTGGGCGACTGTGAGCCTGTGGGAAAGGATGGCAAGCGGTATGATCACGCCCAGTTAGATGGCGAGGACGAGGACTCCGAGGAACTGGCCGAGTACGAGCAGATATATGAAAACGAAGGTAGGATCGATAGGATCGGTAGGATCGGGACCTCTCACCTCAATCACGGGATCTCAATCATCTAACCCAAAAAAAAAAGAACTCGAATCTCACCTCACCCTCAAATCATTCGCTACCGCACCCGATCCCGCACCTCGCACTCGTGATCCTTCCACTCCCGGTTCAGTCTGTTACTCTCTGTTCCCCCTCCCCACCCCCGCCAGGCAGGGCATTATCCCCGGAATCAAAATCCCCTGCCATGACCACATACTCATTTTGGTCTGCTTATTATCCATACCATCCACAGACTGCACCGAGTCGGATAGCTGCGCCAGCTCCACAGAGCGACGAGTGCGCCAACAGAATGCCTACTACAAGGCCAACAGCAAGGCGAGCAAGGCCAGTGCCAAGAAGCAGAAGAAGAAGAAGGTGGCCATACCCGTGCAGACGCCGAGAGTGCCGCCCTTTGGCTCGTATGTGAGTCCGCCGGAGATTCCCCTGCACTATCAGCGCATGGCCGTCGTCGGAGCAGGTGAGAAAAGTATGTGTCGTGTTTGTGTGGTGCTTTTTAGTGTTGCACCAAATCCTTGTCTCCTTTGATCCTGCTCCTCCTTCCTCCGCTTGGGTTTGTACTTGGATATCAGCTGTTTCTGTGTCTCTCTGCCTGCCCCTCTCCGATCCACGCCCCAAAACTGACCCTTGCCACCACTCATCTTCCTTTGCTTCCCCCCCCCTTCCATCCACAGAGAAAGCCGAGGCTGGTGTGCCGGAGTTCATGAAGAGCGACAAATCCCCAGAGGTAAGCTCAAAGCCATATACCATCCATGAGAAACTGACAGACCCTGACTCTATTGCATTGCTTTTAGTATTCCATGGTGCCGGAGCTGACTACAGCTGGGATCTTTGGCGCTGAGAATCTGCCCGAGTACAACATGAATGCCAAATGCCTGAAGGACTTTGAGAAGCTCGAGAAGAGGCGCATCAAGGAGGAGACGGCACGCCTGCGCAAGCTGCAGGAGAAGGAGAAGGAACAGGAGAAGAAGCTCAAACGAAAGCTCAAGCAGAATGCCAAGGGACTGGCCGAGTCCGTGGAGGCGCAGTTCGGGAAGCTAATGATCAGCTCCGACCAGGGCGAGATACCCATTTTCCTGAACAAGTGCGTAGAGTTTATCGAGAAGGAGGGACTCGACTCGGAGGGCATTTACCGGGTTCCGGGCAGCCGGGCGCATGTCGATATGCTATTCCAGCGATTCGAAGAGGGTAAGAGAAGTCTATCCACTCTTTTGTCAGTGTAATGTACTTATTGTATTTTATTTTTATGATGTCAATTTAGATGTTCACACCGTCATCGATGTGCTGGACATACCCGTCAATGCCGTTGCTACAGCTCTGAAGGACTTTTTCTCCAAGCGCCTGCCGCCTTTGTTTAGTAAGGACATCATCAAGGAGCTGGAAGAGATTGCTGGTGAGCATAAAACATAGGAAGAGAAATCTTCTCACCCATTCTGTGCACAATCTCACACGTAAATTCACCTCGTTTCAGGCTCTCGTGGAGTTGGCTCCTCCAAGTTGAACGTGGAGGTGAAAACGGATCGCAGCTGCCGCTTGATAGCTTTAAAATCGCTGCTGCAGAAGCTGCCCCCCATCAATTTTTCCATACTCAAATACATATTCCAGCACTTTGTGCAGTAAGTCCGCCAACAGACAGACGCCTCATTTATCAGCTATTAATCGGTCAATCATTGCATTGCAGCGTCTCCGACAACTCCAAGCTGAACAGCATGGACAGCAAGAACTTGGCTATCTGTTGGTGGCCCACCTTGATACCCATCGACTTCACCGACATGGGCCACTTCGAGCAGCTGCGTCCCTATCTCGAGGACATTGTCCAGACGATGATCGACCAGTTCCCCTATCTATTTTGCGGAAAGGATGCGTTTGTAATGGTCTAGACATTCGACCAACAACAACAACAAAACAACAACAACAGATCCTAGATAGACTCAATGTTCGCATGCAGTGTGTGTGTGTGTGTGAGGTGTGTGCCATGTATGCGTATGTGTGGTATGTGTGTGTGAAGCATGGATGAAAATGAAAGAGATAGAGCCATTGAAATTGAAAGGAAGAATGAAAAATAAAAGGCAGCCCATCGATCGATCGATTCATTTTGTGGAGTAGGTGGAGTCTGAGAGCAGGCGCATAATGATATATAGATATATAAACACTATATAGTATGTATACATACTTCTTATATATACGATGATGATATTATTATCTGTGTGTGTATTTTTTTTTGTATATCTATGTGTGCGAGTGTATCTGTGTTTTGTATCTGTAGCTGTATCTATATCTGCATGTGAAAAGTATTTGGGGAACGTGGGAAGGATAAACGAACACTTGGCTAAGTAGGGTATATGTATATTTATTTTTTATATACTTGCATATATGTATACATCCATACATACCATACCTATACATATATATGCACATAAGTGTGCTGTATATATGTGTATGTAGCTTCAATATATATGTATATCATATCATACATATATGTATTCATATACATGTCGTGTGTATTTGCATACAAACAAAATATATATATGTATATTATATATTATATATATATATTTTGTATATCCAATGGCTTTGTTGTGTTTCCGTGATATATGTAAACGCGCGTCAAGTGTTTTTTCTGTGTGTCCCTCATCCACCCTCCCCCCAGAGATCTGGCTTAGCTGTGGCGAGGGGGCCACAGCGCCAACGACAACGCACAACTAATATAAAATAAAATTTCAAAAATACAACCTTAAACAAAAAAACAGAGATAAAGAAATGAACAAACAAACAAACAAAAAGAAAAAAACGAAAACTGCGGGAAAAGGATTAATACAATTTACTATGTATCTGTGTATGCTATAACTGTAACTGTAATTGTAATTGTAACTCTTACTGTAACTGTAATTTAAATTGTATGTTCAAATGACCCAATCAAGATCGGGCCAACACCATTGTCCACAGAACGTGCATACATACATCATAGTACACATAAAGATAACGCTAGATATCTAGAATATCTAAAATTAAAGCTATATAACTACTATGTATATCCATACGTATTGTGTGTATGTATTATATCTATATATATAATACTATAATTATAGTCTAGAATATCGGGAGAATGTTGACGAAATGTAATGCCAGAGGATCTGTGGATCTGGATCACAGATCAGAAGCAGATGTGGAAGATCCGAACAAAATCTAATTTTCGAGCTAAACTAAATGTGCATCTCATCGAGTGTGTGTGTGTGTGTGTGTGTATGTATGTATGTATATGTTCCACTATGCATGTATGTGTTATCCACCTAGACGTTACCCTAGATGTATGTACAAATTCATATATACATATATATGTATATGATAATGCCGATTATGATAGTTACCACGTAAAGCTAATGAAATCTCCAACTGGAAAATAAAACTGAAATTGAAATTTACACCCTTCCCCAAAAGAAACAAAAAAAAAAAACCCAAGTCGTAAAACACACCAATATCCAATCTCTCCACTCTACACTGATTGTCTAAACGATATTCGCATTAGCCAGGCATATAAACCCTACATACCATACATACATATATGTAAAACATACTCCATACTCTCTATCTCTCTCTCTCTCGGCTAAGTAATTGTGTGTGTGTGTATGTGTATGTGTAATGTTCCAAAATTAGCGAAACAACAATTTCCATACAATCATACATACCTATATTTTAACTATCGATGCGGTGCAGTAGAAGAAGAAAGGAGTGCATGCAAGCATCACGAAGGATGGGGCGATCGAAAAACAAAAATTGTAGACAACATAAGCCTAAGTGTTATTTCTTGTAATTGAGCATTAATTTTTTTATATAAAACAAAAACTTAAATATGTAATTATATATATATATATGTGTGTGTATTGTATCTTGTGTCTGAACGGACCTCAAACTTAAACAAAACAAAACAAAAAAAGAAGATGCGAACACTCCAGCAGAGCAGAGGAAAAGGCTCAAAAATATGGAAGAAATGGAAAACGAGATGAAATCTGTTGCCAAAAACAGAGAGACGAGAGGAGAGGAGAAGAGAAGAGGAGTCGACAGAGGATGAAGAGGAATAAACAATTAACCATTATATAGTATAATTTGTATAGATGTGTGTCTATTGCATTATTTGTACACGTACATATATATACCGTCTATGTATTAACGTATATATGTGTATGCATTTATTTATATACGCTAAAAAAAAAAAAAAACAAGCAAAAATATGTCTTAAAACCAAAACTAAAAAAAAAACGTAAAAAACAAGAAAAAAAAAATTGTAATTGCCGTGATGTGTAATGATATTTTTAAAAGCAAATTTTATGCCACGCCCATGCTAAGCAAAACCACACGATCCTCCTCCCTGTCCTCTACCATTTCCCGTTCCGTGTACGCTCCCTCCCCTCCTCATAAACCATAACCATGCCACTTGCAGACTTGACGTGGATCACTTCCCACAGCCCCACCACTCACACAACACAACTTAACTCCCGGACCCTCCAAAACCTGGGCAGCCCTATGGATGAGACAGGTAGCACACATATCCACTATATCCATGCATATATATGCCTGTACTACCACTGATCCTGGGCCTCTGCAGAGGTGAAAGATCCACAAGAGCATGGAGAGGAGAAAAAAGAAAAAGAAAACTCATAAAATGAAATCAAACGAAACGAAATAAGAATAAATTTGTGGGCATTTTCCAAATATTTGTGAAGCATTCGGAAAAAGTTTTTATTTAAGGGAACAGTCAAAAAAATACGATTATTTAAAGGGAATTTCAAAGATGGAGACGCCTTGGCCTCTAATCTAAATGGACACCACAAATATATCATGCCATTGATGTATTGGGACTCACCCTTGAAAAGGTTTGCAAGGAGTGTTTTTCTTAGATAACCGTAAAGCCTGCGCTTGGTTGCAAAACCTAATTCAATCTCTTGAATGTCGTTCCATGCTCTCTCTCTCTCTCTCCCTCAGGATTGAGCTTCAAAGTCGCAATATTCCCAAACCAAATTTAACTCCATTCCCTGTACTTTGCAGATCTAACGAGAAGGAACATTGTGGGTCGTTTTTGCTGCCGCGACTCAACTTTTTCACAATATATGTGAGGATATGATTTAAGTGGAATTTTTAAATATTTTATCAGTTTTCATTTTTGTGCTACATCTGTCATGTAGATGTAACATATAAAATGTAGATTATTCATTTCCTCCGCCAGAGTGCGCTACCCGTGTCAAAGTTTGTGCGAGCGAGAAAGAGAATTAGTAGCGCTGCATTACTGGAAGGAGGTGGGGTATCAACTGAAAATAAATTTCTTCATTCTGGCTATAATAATGATCCGATCTAACCCAGATTCGGCAATCTGTTAGATATGGTTATTCTGTACGATATCTTCATATCTAAGTGGTATCTTCAAAATTGTGGATGCCACAGATTTTCGTCCTTTGCGAAGGTGGAAGAGGGCTTGACAAAATTTCGAAACAAACTTGATTCAGTGTGATATTACATGAGTCTGGAAACAAAATTTGGTTGCTCTAGATCTTATAGTCTCTGAGAAAAAGGCGAAAAAAAAAGACGGACAGACAGGCTATATCGACTCTGCTACTGATGCTGATCAAGAACATATATACTTTATGGGGTCGGAAATGTTTCCTTCTCTGCGTTACACACATCCATTTTTACCACAAATACAATATACAACTTAGCTGTTCGAGTACGGGTATACAAATTGTCCATCCTGTGGGGACCCGAAGAGCAAAGCCCAAATTTTTAAACTTTGGAAGAGATTCATAGCCCATAGCCATCATCAGTCGTGATTGACGATTCGAATCTGTTTAAATGGATTAGCTCAAGGACCTAATTCCAGTGATCTAATATTATTGATATAATGAGAAGATAGAATTAGAGGCTATGATAACAATTATTTGCATTAATTTATTGAAACAGTCCAGCCCCACTTCCCACTTAACTACCCAAAAGGTTGGCTACAATGGCCTCCGTGTCCATCAGTGTCATCTTATTCGTTAACTTGGACTTTTTATAGGCGGGCTCGTCATCGGAGTCCTCGCCATCATCGTCATTATCATCAGAACTGTAACTGGGCTCTGGCTGTGGCTGCGATTGATGATCCCCATTTGGATTGGTTTGTTTTTTGTATACTTTATCGGGATCGGGCAGCCAGGACAGGTCCACCGAACCGTCACTATCACTATCACTATTGGCATCGGCATCTGGTTCCTGATCGTTGACGTCCTCTTCGTCCTCGCTCGATCCTTGGGCAGCCTCTGTCTTCTTGCGGAGCTTCTCGCGCTGTAGCTTGTGACGCTTCTTGACCAGCTCGCGGAAGCGGAGTTTGTCGTATTGATCCTCCTCGGAGAGTAGGGTCTTGGATAGCACCAAGTTGATTCCACCATCGTCGTCCTTGTTATCTTTTTTCTGGCGCTGCTGCCTGGAACTGAGTGCCTTCATCTGGCTGCGATCGTCGGCCACAGTTTCACCCTCTTCGTCGAACTTGAGCTTTGAGTTAACCTGCAAATTTTTCTTGAGCGCCTTTTTAGCCAGCGACGCCTTAGTGACGAGCTTTTCGCGCTTGGGCACCACCAGCGGCTCCTCCAGCTCGCCCTCATCTTTGGTCTGGTCCAGCTGTAACTCCAGGGGTCCACCCTCCACATCGTGATCTCTTCGCTTGACTCTGATCAGGTCATCATCATCATCGGTGTCATCATCATCTTCATTACTGCCATCATCCGCACCAAAGGTTTTCTGTCTATTAATCTTAGGAAGGGTGGAACTGGGACTGGCGTCGGCAGGGCCCTCCGCCAGATTCTGCTGCTGCTGGAGCTGTTTCTGACGCCAAAGGAACTTCTCGAGGAAGGGGACACGCGGCGTCACCGCCAGGCCCAGCGATTGTGCGTAGGCGTCCAAGTCCAGACTAAACACATTGAACAGACGCTTGTTACGCATGAGGAAGACGGACTTGAGGTATGAGAGGAAGGCACGCTGAGCGGTGGCTCGAAGCTCGGGGAACTGGGCCAGGAACGCCTCGATCTTGACGCGCGGCGAGAAAAGTTTTTTCGGATCAATCTGGACACAGTGGATGTTCAGGTTGAGCTGCTCCTTCAGCGCCCCGATCATGTACTCCTCTTCGCTGGGAGTCAGGACCAGTAGGCACTCGCCACGGGTTTTGTTGCGGGCAGAGCGACCCGCTCGATGGATGTACTGGGAAACATCCTCGGGACAGTCCAGCTGGACAACCCAGTTGACGGCGGGGAAGTCGAGGCCGCGTGAGGCCACGTCTGTCGAGAACATGACCACGTGACTCTTCCGCAGGAAGTCTTCGTAGATGGCGATGCGGCGATCCTGGTGCAGGGTTCCGTAGAGGGCAAGCAGTGGACACCCCGGCCTTAGCTTGCAGAATATCTCGTAGAGATACTTCGCCTGCTTGCAGCTGGAAACGAACACGATGATCTTCTGCTTCAAGTGGTTCTTGATGAAAGACCAGAGCATAGTGATTTTGTCCTCCAGATTGAGGACCACATAGCTCTGCTGCAGCAGCTCTGGAACTGCCAGAACGGCAGTCGTCTGACCACTCTCCTTTGTGGATGCGGACGATGAGGTGGAAGCTGCTGATTGGCCACCATATCCCACATAGACGGGATCTTTTAGATTGAGTCTCGCCAAATCCTGAACTGTATTTGTCTGCGTGGCCGAGAAGAGCAGAGTCTGCCGTTCCGGCGGAAAGTTCTCGATTATAGAATTCAGGGTCTTTTGGAAGCCCATGTCCAGGCACCGATCCGCCTCGTCCAGGACCAGAACCTCCATTGAGCTGGTGTTGAACAGCGGATTCTCGTCCATGTGCTGCAGCAGACGGCCGGGCGTGCAGATCAGAATATTGCACTGGTCCATTCGCGTTCGCTCGAACTTCAGATTCTTGCCCCCTATTATCAGACCGGCAGAGAAGTCGTGATGCTTGCCGACCTTCTTAAGGGTCTCGAAGATCTGGTAGGCCAGCTCGCGCGTGGGCGAGATGATTATGGCACCCACTCCATCCGTGCGCGACCATTTGTTGATGAACAGGTGCTCCAAGACCTAAATAGAGGTGGAGATATAGGAAATCTAAGTCAAATGTATTTTCTGTCTAAGATCTCCGGCCACTTACGGGTATGAGGAATGCCAAGGTCTTCCCACTGCCAGTAACAGCGGCGCCCAGCACATCCTTACCCAGTAATGCTGGTCCGAGGCTTTCCAGTTGCACTTGCGTTGGATTGACGAATTTGGCCTCGGCCAAGGCCTTCTGCGTCTTTTGCGAGAGTGGGAACTGAGCGAACTTCTTGATGGCCTGTGCATCGATCTCTTTGTATCGGTCCTGGAGCTCTTGGATTTCTTTTTCGTTGGCCGCAAGTTTTGATTTGTTGTACTCTGGCCTTGGTCGCTTCAGCTTGTTGTTGGGGCTGGGTTTGCCATTGCTCGTCCTGGGGCGCGGACCTGGTTTTCCAGACCGCTTGGGTTTCTGTCGCTGCATTCCCTGGAAATTATATATTCTATTCTCTTAAATGTTGGACAAAAATCATCCAAAACACGTTCTGGTTGCACGCGGGAATCGAGACACGATGAATTTATTTATATCAGTGTGACCGCGGACTATCGATAGTATACCGTTTGATTTTCCGATATATATCAGAAATATACCTTTTTATTCTCCAAATATACCATTAATAAGTATTTATTTTTCTCACCTTTGTATAATAATATTAAAAAATACGTTATAGCACATATTCTTATAGAAATAAAAATTGAAAATTGAAAGCATTTGTACATTTCTGTTGATGTATTTTGGTAAATCAGATATTATATTGTTGGATTTCATTAAAAAGATATACCACCATTAGACGTATTCAACTAAACTTTAATATCGGTACAGTACAGAAACACAAAAAACAACATGAAGGGTATACCATACCCGGTATAAGCTGTTGCACTAGGGCTTCATAAAAATTATGGAAAACGGCAGAGGCTTGATGCTCATATTTACTTAATATTTATCCCATCCAAAAAAATTGAAAAGACGCATGACGCAGCCCTAGTGTAAACAGGCTAGAAGATAATATCGAAGCCGATAGCAAACTCGCGGCAGTGTAACGAGGCCATAAAAGGTTGACTTAAACTTTTATTATTTTCTTGTAAGCATTTGTGATAAAGAGATCTCATGAAGAGGAACAAATTAATTGGTTAATATTATTTAACTAAGTATATGTACTTGACAGCCCTAATTCAGTTATTGCAATGGTGTGGCAGCCCTGTACAAGTTGTTCTCATCTCAGTGTGTTATCGTTCTTATTGTTGCTGTCCGAAGTTTGTATCTACAACAAGGTCCCGTTGCCCATACAATCTGCTAAATATGTGTTGTGCTGCAACAGTTAAAAGTGTGATAGGAGCGCGCGGCGTGAAACTGTTGAAAGCAATTGCCATTGCCTGGTTCTACTGGTGCTCGCTGTGAAGCTCTGCCCGCCCCCACCCCGCCACAACAGCAACTCAAACAACAACGGCGCTGATAACGGCAGCTTCAGACGCAGCAGCCATAGGAAGAGCTAAAGCTCAAGCTAGTGGCAGCCAGCCCCAACTCCAATCGGTTCGACAGCAGCTAGGCCCCGGCCCCCTGCCCCAGCTTCTGTCCCTTTACCCAGCTATTCAGCCATGGGCACTATCTCATCAGTGCTGCAGTGGTCGTGCACCAAGTGCAATACGATCAATCCGACTGAATCTCTGAAATGCTTCAATTGCGGGACGGTGCGCAAGGTGTTTCCCAGTCCTACCGCAACATTGTCGTCGCACCAGACGACGGCTACAGTCACAGCAACAACTGCACCGCGACAGCCCAGCACTTGGATACATCGACAGCAAGCACCCCCGCATCCGGCAGAAGCGTTGCCAGCTGATGGAGAGTCGCTTGATAGGAGCAAAACGGTAACCAGGTAAGAAATAAAGTAGTCAGCACACAGTAGGCAAAGAGCAGCGGTGGGCCAAAAATCATCACACAAAAACAAACAGCCTGTCCGCGTGTGTGTGTGTGTGGTGCGAGTGTGCGTGTCGCGTGCGTTTGTGTGTGTGTGTGTGTGTGCGTGTGCCTGTATACATAGAGAAGTAGGAGGAGGAGCAGCAGCAGCAACAGCAACAACAAAAAAGGAGGAACAGAGACGAATTGGGGAAAATCGATTTGGATCAAGAAACATTGTTTACAGTTTTATTGATTTGGTTTTTAATTGAATATTACTCTTCGTTCTATCGCCACCCTCCTTCGCCCCTGCCCACAATCGGCCACTGAGGCGTCTGCGCCTCTGTTTCCAGCCGTAGCGCAAAACAAACAACCTAATTTTTGCTGAAAATTAAGCGGAAAGTGAGTGGGAAGAAGAGCAGAGCGGAGCAGAGAAAGGAACAGAACTCCAGTGAAAGGGGTGGTCGAAAGTCGAAAGTCGGATTTCCATGCGGTCATTGAAATAACCTTTGACTCCGGGCCCCTAACCCACACCGTTCTCCTTTCCCCTCCTTGTGTTTCCAGAAACGAATACAACAAGCATGTCTACAAGTCGCTGCTGCGCGGCTGTCTGAAGCGACCGCAGCGGAACAGCCAGAACCTGCCCGCCAACTGCGTCGACTGCGAGGACACGCGAAAGTACATCAAGAGCTCCATCGAGCTATATCGGCACTTCTCGAACCCGGCGCTGAACCGACGCTGGATCTGCCACGCCTGCGAGACGGACAACAATTCGGTGACCTGGCACTGTTTGATCTGCGACACGGTCAGTTATCTGGCGCCCATCTACAAGGACGCCATTGCCGGCGACGGTCCTCGGGGCCAAGAGCTAGCTGGCAGCCTAGGAAGCGGCAGCAAGGCGGAGCTGCTGCCGGACAGAGCGGACCAGAATAGTCATCATAGTCATCACCAGCTGCACCAGCACCAACACCAACACCAACACCATCAGGAGGAGCATCAACAACAACAACATTCCCAAAAACGACACCTTAAGGGCAGCGGTCGCAGTGGTAGATTCTCCCTCTTCCGACGCACCCAGAGCCTGAGCACGGCCATCGACAAGAGCTCCTCGGGGCGTAGCTGTCACATATGCTATGTGAACAACCAGAGCAAGGACATATTCAATCTGCCCCAGTCCAAGCCGCAGCTAACAGGTGAGTCCTACCGATCGCAGCGCACTTTTGAAACCCCCTCTAGTGGAATCTCTAATCTCATGGCATCTCTCATCCCTTTGCTAGGTGTTCCTCCGGCGGCCACCTGCAGCAATTCGCGCTTCGCCATTGCCAACGATACCTTCTGTCGTCGCAAGCAGAACAATAACAACAAGAACCAAAATAAAGTGGTGCGCGAGAGCTGCGCCAAAAAGAGATATAACTTCACCATCACTACGCTCTCGCGATCCTCGGCCAAGGAGGAGGCCAAGTCTAACTCAAAACCGCTGCGCCAGCAACAACAGCAGCAGCCGAAGCAGCAGCAGCAAGCGAATGCCCAGCGGGAGCCAGCAGTGAGTATGAATCCATCACAGTTCACCATACCGAGGAACGGAGTCTTCATTGCCGTCAATGAGTGGTCAGAACCGACGGCCAGTACCGCCGCCAGTGGAAAGCGCAGCCAAGCCCTGCCCTGGGATATGGCCCACAATCATCAACCCCAGCAGCATCAGCAGCAGAACCAACACCACAACAACAACAATAACAACAACAGTAACAGCAACAAGAACAACAACAACTGTGGAAAGATGCAGGAGCAGCAGCAGCAGCAGCTGTATGAGAACGAGTGCGTAGCCTTGGCCCAACAGCAGCTGAGGGCGACCGCTGCCCAGGCAGCCCAGACAGCAGCCACCGCCGTGGCTGTGCCTCAGCTTATGCCAGTGGCTTCCTCCCCTGTGGCAGCAGGGGAGCCGCCAATACCCATCTACGCTCAGGTGAACAAGCAGCACAAGCTCAAGAAGAAACACCATCAGCAACAGCAACAACAGCAGCAGCAGCAGGAAGCTCAGGCCAACAACAATGGAAGCGTTGAGGCGGCAGCTTTGACAACGGACAACAGTAGTAGCGAAGCTATGACAGGATTCGGCCTGGGAGCCAGCACCGATGGCAGCGGGGAGGCAAGCGAGTCAGAGTCGAGCAGTACACAGCCAGAGTTGCACGTCGAAGAGCATTCCATCTATGCCAAGGTTTGGAAGGGACCACGCAAGGCTACTGAATCCAAAATGTAAATTTTAAGCCGCCAGAGCAACACTAACACCAAACACCCAATATCCAACACCCTCTCTCCTGCCACTCCAAAACAGAACGGAAAAGAACGGAACAGAACAGAACGGAACAAAACAGAGCAGAACACACTGTTCCTGTTCCCTTATCAATTATTTAGGTTCTGCTGATTATGTTTTTTTTTTTTTTTTTTTGCTTAGACGCTTAGTCACACCCGGGCCATGTGTCTGTCTGTGTGTGTGCTCCACACAGTGAAAGCTTTGCTGGCGGAAATGCCCCCGAGTCGGGGAAATGTATATTTGCAACCAATCTTGGGGTGTCCGCTATCAAGGGCTCTCACTGTAGATGGCATTATCTTTTCGTTTGGTTTTTCGCTATTTTGCTTTTTGCGGTTTGAGTTGCGTTTTCGTTTTCGTTCCCATTTCAGTTGCAGATTCAGTTTCAGTTTGTTATTAATTAACCAATTAATAAGTTACTTATTTTTGTACACCCATTTCTGCTTGATTTATTATTATTATTACTATTATATACGGACGGATCAATTGGAGCTAATTGAGTTGGAGTTGAAATTTTATCGCTTTCTCTGTGTTTCCAGCACGCATGATCCGGGCAGTAGTCGTCTTATCGTTGCCACAGCCTCAGCGATAGCAACAGGGGGGCCATCAAAATCAGCGATTGCAGCCGCTGTGGCCCAACGCAACGACAATAAACCGCTGGTAGGACACAGCAGCCGCAGCAAGATGTGGACATGCATCAAATGTTCCTATGCCTACAATCGTCTCTGGCTGCAGGCCTGTGAGATGTGTGAGGGCAAGCCGGAGAAGCAAGCCCAACAGCAGGCTCAGCCTCAGCCGCAGCAGCAGCAGCAGGCAGGTCGGTACATCTGTCAAGGAGAATACTGAACCCTGAACATGCGATTATATTTGACTATGATTTGAATTGAATTTCAGAGACGCCAACGAACCGAGACGAACCGTGGACGTGCAAGAAGTGCACTCTGGTCAACTACTCCTCGGCCATGGCCTGCATTGTTTGCGGCGGATCCAAGCTGAAGAGCATCTCCTCCATCGAGGACATGACGCTGCGCAAGGGCGAGTTCTGGACCTGCAGCCACTGCACTCTCAAGAACTCGCTGCACTATGGTATGTGCAGTGCCTGCAAGTCCATTCGGCTGCTCCCCGTCGAAACGGTGCGCGAGCGTCCCGATGGACAGTCGTACGAGGAGCAAGACGCTGCCGCTGCTGGCCACCTCCCGCCTGGCACCGCCAACGAGGCCAAGACTCCCACGGGCATTGCCATGCCCATGCCGATACCCTTGTCCATGCCTATGCCCATGCCCATGCCCATGCTGCAGTTGCCAGCAGCGGTAGTGCATCGTGGGTCGCGCAGTCCCTCGCCCAGGGCGATAGGGATGCTGCCCATGGCACAGCAGCAGCAACAGCAGCAACCGCAACAGGTTCAGCCAGTGAGGAGCTCTTCGGGTGCCATTCCCAAAAGGCACAGCACCGGCGGCTCCATCGTCCCTCGCAACATTTCCATTGCCGGACTGGCGGCTGGCACTTCAGCCTACAACATACAGCAGGGATCACCAGCAGGGTCTGGCTCCAAGAAGTGGCAGTGTCCGGCATGCACCTACGAGAACTGTGCCGCATCCGTGGTGTGTGACATCTGCTCGAGTCCGCGGGGGCTAGTAAACGCTGTTATCGGGGATGCGCTGTCCAGGAAGTCCATACGGGTGGCCTTGACGGACATCCGGCAAGAGAGCAAGCTGATGGAGAACCTGCGCCAGCTGGAGGAGACCGAGGCACTGACCAAGTGGCAGAACATTATCCAGTACTGCCGCGACAACAATGAGCTCTTCGTAGACGACTCCTTTCCGCCGGCGCCGAAAAGCCTCTACTACAATCCGGCAAGCAGTGCGACCGAGGGCAATCCGGTGGTGCAGTGGCGCCGCCCCCACGAGATTAACTGCGACGGCGGCGCATATCCGCCGTGGGCCGTTTTCCGCACTCCCCTGCCATCGGATATCTGCCAGGGTGTGCTGGGTAATTGCTGGCTGCTCAGCGCCCTGGCCGTGCTAGCGGAGCGCGAGGACCTGGTCAAGGAGGTGCTGGTCACCAAGGAGATTTGCCCCCAGGGCGCCTACCAGGTGCGGCTCTGCAAAGACGGCAAGTGGACGACCGTGCTAGTCGATGATCTGCTGCCCTGCGACAAGCGCGGCCATCTGGTCTATTCGCAGGCCAAGCGGAAGCAGCTCTGGGTGCCGCTGATCGAGAAGGCAGTGGCCAAGATCCATGGCTGCTACGAGGCGCTCGTCTCTGGACGCGCCATCGAAGGCCTGGCCACGCTGACGGGCGCCCCCTGTGAGAGTATACCACTGCAGGCCAGCTCCCTGCCCATGCCCAGCGAGGACGAGCTGGACAAGGATCTGATCTGGGCGCAGCTGCTTAGCTCCCGCTGTGTGCGCTTCCTCATGGGTGCCAGCTGCGGCGGCGGCAACATGAAGGTTGACGAGGAGGAGTACCAGCACAAGGGCCTGCGGCCACGGCACGCCTACTCTGTGCTGGACGTGAAGGACATCCAGGGGCACAGGCTGCTCAAGCTGCGAAACCCCTGGGGCCACTACTCGTGGCGCGGAGATTGGTCGGACGACTCTTCGCTGTGGACTGACGACCTCAGGGACGCCCTGATGCCGCATGGCGCCTCCGAGGGCGTCTTCTGGATTTCCTTCGAGGACGTGCTCAACTACTTTGACTGCATCGACATCTGCAAGGTGCGGTCCGGCTGGAACGAGGTGCGTTTACAGGGCACCCTCCAGCCCTTGTGCTCCATTTCCTGTGTCCTGCTCACCGTGCTGGAACCCACCGAGGCGGAGTTCACGCTTTTCCAGGAGGGCCAGCGCAACTCCGAGAAGTCGCAGCGCTCCCAGTTGGATCTCTGTGTTGTGATATTCCGCACCCGCTCGCCGGCGGCCCCCGAGATCGGCCGTCTCGTGGAGCACAGCAAGCGGCAGGTGAGTGCTCGTCGATGCCCAGACCAGTTGACAAATCGACCTTCTGTCCCCGGATTGATTTGAGAATCTCCTTGCAGGTGCGCGGCTTTGTGGGCTGCCACAAGATGCTGGAGCGGGACATATATCTGCTGGTTTGCCTGGCCTTCAACCACTGGCACACTGGTATCGAGGATCCGCACCAGTATCCGCAGTGTATCCTAGCCATCCACAGCTCAAAGCGCTTGCTTGTCGAGCAGATCATCCCTTCGCCGCACCTCCTCGCCGATGCCATCATCAGTCTGACCCTGACCAAGGGTCAGCGGCACGAGGGACGCGAGGGTATGACCGCCTACTACCTCACCAAGGCAAGTTTTTCTTCCCTACTTTCCTCTTCACTCCCACTCCCAATGAGAAAGGTAAGAGTAATATGTGTTTGTGGTTTGTGGTCCTCCGCAGGGCTGGGCGGGTCTGGTTGTGATGGTAGAGAACCGACACGAGAACAAGTGGATCCATGTCAAGTGCGACTGCCAGGAGAGCTACAATGTGGTGTCCACCCGGGGTGAACTGAAGACTGTGGATTCCGTTCCGCCGCTCCAAAGGTAGGTCAGAGATTTAGAGTTGATCAAATTTCCCACTAATTTCGCACCATTACGTACCCGTACCCGTACCAGGCAAGTGATTATTGTGCTAACCCAGCTGGAGGGCAGCGGCGGCTTCAGCATCGCCCATCGGCTCACACACCGACTGGCCAACTCACGGGGCCTCCACGACTGGGGACCGCCCGGAGCCACGCACTGTCCCCCTATTGAAAACGTACACGGGCTGCACGCCCCGCGCCTGATCACCTAAGCTGAAACTCCTCCATTGATTAAGGATCGCACAAATGCGGATGAAATGCATGAACGGATGCCTGAGCACTGGTTAAAGATAACGAACGATTAATGATTCCTTTCGATGTTCTCTCAATGTATACACTTATGTATGTCTTGATTTCCATTCGTCTCCGCTCATTTCTACCGTACTCTAGTCGATGTTTTGTAAACGTATTACGTACCATGCATACAACAAAAACCAAAACCCAAAGGAAAGAAATATATATATGTATAGATGGATATAGGTACATATGCCATCACATCTGATCAAACTTGACACGGACTGGTTAAAAAAAAACAACATTTTAATGTAAATAGGCGATGGGATGGCGATGGCCCTTTGTTTCTTTAGCGAATTACTTTTTGTGACCTTAATCAACTTCTGGGGCGTTTTAAATATCCAGCTCAGCTCAGCTTTTCCAAGAAAATTAGAGCTAAACTCAACTTAAAGAGCTAAGCATGCAAAGATACCTAAGAAATAATAATAATACGGGAAAGGTATGTTAGTATTAGAGATTAAAAAAGAGGAAGGGAATTATTAAGGGATATTTTATGGCAGAGGGAATTATAATCCGAGCATAAGACCCTAAACGATTCATGCAAGAAATAATTCAATCTCCAAAGTGGATGGAACAAAGGAATAATGTTTCTATTTGCTCTAATTTAGGAATCATGAAGCTTATGCGGCTCAGGAAGTCAAATCTATCTATCTATCCTTGACCACGTTGTGCATATAAATGACACCATGCTTTTTTCTACGACTAAGGTGAAAAGGTTTATTAAAAGCAATCTACGAGGGTAAAATGGCAGTCTCACACTTAAATCCAAGTTAATGCCACGCAAAGAAGGAAAAAGGATTGGACTGGGGTCATCATAAACGAGAGCCGTACTCAAAAATCGGACGAACAAGCTAGATTAAAGGGTGTAAAAGGTAGGGGCTTTAAGTAACTTTAACTGGTGAAGAGAAGGAGTTTTTAAAGAGGAGTCTCTGCGACCTAGAACAAAGGTAGCTAGAAATCCATCTCAAAAGATTTGGTGAAAACACTAACAGGTTAAGTTTTTGTGTTAGAAAGGAGTGGTTTAAAGGGTCGAATGCTTTACTGAAATCTGTGTAAATAACATCCGTCTGCAAGTCTTAAATGATAAAAGAGGTGAACTTTTATAAATGTGTGGTTGTTGATCGTCGCCTTATAAATCCGTGCTGTGCTGGAGATTTGCAGGTTTGTTGCAAGTGCGGAGTTGAAATTCTCATCACATCTGCAGTATCATCAATAAAGGCTGGCGAATGTAGACGTAAAATTCGGCCAGCATTAATTAAGTCATACCGTTGTATATAACTGAATATGCCGTAAACGGTCACTGCGGAACAACAAAATAAGTGCCAAAGAACTGTTGGAACTCAATTCAAAAAATGTATATTATGCATTTATACTATCGGTGAGAGGATGGCATCGATGTTTTTCCAGATCTTTCCGATAGTTACTTGTAGCGCCATCGTATTTTCCTCGGTATGTTTTAAAAATGAGAAGGTATATTTTGGTTAATTCCTGATGGTATATTTTATCGATAAGTCCGCGGTCCCACTGGCTGCTATTGTGTTCGTAGAGCTGTCAATGTTTTGAAAAAAAAAAATCGATACTATCGTAATAGTATCGGGCTCAAAAAATATTTAAAAAATCATTGAAACCTTTTAGGAACTTGTCCATTGTAAAAATTAGATGCCACCTGTCGATTTGTTTACAAATTTGTCTTCGTATTTTATAGCAGCCAATCCAAACATATCAAAAGCGCAACGACTGTATCTCGATACTATCCTGATAGTCTCAAAACTATCGATAGTAGAGGCTAGCAGCAAAATATCGATACTCTCGATAGTGCCCTCTTTGGTTTGACACCTCTATTTGTTCGTCTTGCATTGTGTTCGTTCGTTTCGTGTTTTTTTTTTTAAAATGGCTGATACAAAGGGCGTGAGTAGCTCAATAATTTGATGTCAAATTTTGATTAGCCTCGGAAGTGATCGCTTCAAAAAGTGATCCACTCAGAGCAGTTCCTTGCAGATGCAGTGTGTGGGTGGAGTCCAAATGCATTTTTGTTTGGCCCGAGCTTACTGGTGCCTCCCTTCGTTCTGTTCGCCTTTCGTCCGTTCATTGTGCAGTCAAGTGATTCACAACACATGCCGGCGTCAGAGGCGGCGTTGCTATCCGCATTCTTCCTTTGTTTGCGCTTGCAGATCTCTGCGAGTGTTCCACCTCTGACCCACATTCAGAGAGCACTGGCAATGCCAGTCAGTAACGATAGCATTTAGCTGTTTCTTTGGCCATCAGCCATGTACATATGTATGTACATACATATGTATGCACATAAATATGTCGATTGTAGCAAGAGAAATTTGAGTTAAGTTATCGTGCGTGACAAGAATTTAAAACAATCGCGACGCCACCGCTTTCTATGCGGAACGAAATTAAAAAAATGTGTGATATGATAGTGAATGCTTGCTTATTTTTTGGTGTTATGGTATGTTGCAGTTTTCCAGCATTGAGACGCCCGGCTATGTGGGGTTCGCAAATCTGCCCAACCAAGTGCACCGCAAATCGGTGAAAAAAGGCTTCGAGTTCACCCTGATGGTGGTGGGTGAGTCTGGATTGGGCAAGTCTACACTGGTCAACAGTTTATTTCTCACGGACCTATACCCGGAACGCATCATACCCGATGCCATAGGTAGGCGCACGCCCCTCCCTCTCTTTCTTTGTTACCATGTGTCAGAAATTGATGACTCGCTCCTTCTTGCAGAGAAACAAAAGCAAACAGTCAAGTTGGAGGCCTCGACGGTGGAGATCGAGGAGCGTGGGGTCAAGCTGCGCCTCACCGTCGTCGACACACCCGGCTTTGGTGACGCCATCGACAATTCCAACAGCTTCGGTGCTATACTCGAGTACATCGATGAGCAGTACGAGCGCTTCCTGCGTGATGAAAGCGGCCTTAATCGTCGCAACATTGTGGACAATCGCATACACTGCTGCTTCTACTTTATTTCGCCCTTTGGGCATGGGTGAGTTTACTTTCTGTGAAATGTGTTCTCTGACCATACTTAACGCTGAGTTTTGATTGGATTGTGTAGCCTGAAACCATTGGACGTGGAGTTCATGAAGAAACTCCACTCCAAGGTGAACATTGTGCCCGTTATAGCCAAAGCTGACTGCCTCACCAAAAAAGAGATCTTGCGCCTTAAGTGCCGCATTATGCAAGAGATCGAGAGCCACGGCATTAAGATTTATCCACTGCCAGACTGTGATTCCGACGAGGACGAAGACTATAAGGAACAAGTGAAGCAACTGAAGGAAGCTGTGCCTTTCGCTGTCTGCGGCGCCAATACATTACTCGAGGTCAAGGGTAAAAAGGTGCGCGGCCGCCTCTATCCCTGGGGCGTGGTCGAGGTAGAAAATCCCGAGCACTGTGATTTCATAAAGCTGCGCACTATGCTGATGTGAGTAGTTCCCGCTGTCGTCCGACCTATTTCACACGTTCTTGACCTTTTATTTTCTGTTTTTTTTTTTTATATTCGTTCCAGCACCCACATGCAGGATCTGCAGGAGGTGACGCAAGAGGTGCACTACGAAAACTATCGCTCCGATCGCCTGGCCAAAGGCATCAAGTGTAAGGAGAATGGCGTAAAGCAGGAACGTGAAAACAACGTGAACGCCCAGGCTGTGGCCAACAGTGCGCTCTCGGAGAAGGATCGCATACTGCAAGAGAAGGAGGCCGAGCTTGCACGTATGACAGAGATGCTGGCTCAGATGCAAGCCCGCATGCAAGCCCAGCATTAAAGCGTATCCAATCAATCGATACATACACCTACATATATATATGTGTATATTTATATATATCTATATATATATATAAATATACAATATACATATAAAAATCAAGAAGCGAAAAGCACTAAATTGTGCAATCGATAGTTATACACAAAAAACATATACATATATATATTTTGTACGCAGATTTTTAAGTTACGGTCGCGCTTGACTATATTCTCACTGTAAAACGAATGGCGCTAAAGTATTTTGTATTAATTTTGCATTCACCATATTTGTATACATACGTTTATGTACATGCATATGAATATGAATATCAATATATAGAACATAGATATAAATACTTACATACACACACCCGCACATCTACTACTATGCATGGCGAAACGTCTACAATGTAATTGTTCCCCAAAATTCTCATCAAATTTCGTCAAAAACAAACGCGAACACACTTCATATCACACACTCCTAAAATCGAACATGAATAACAACTGTATTCCTACTATGTATTTAGACATGACTTGTCGATATTAACCATGGATTATTGCACTTTGTATTTGCATTTAGATTAAGTTATAGTATCGACCCCATCGCCTGATTCATCCGATCTATTGTGTTACTCGACTTTTTTTTGTCTGTTTATCGTCTTTATAGTCTCCAACACACTCGGCAGTAGCTGCCGCTGGCACCCAGCCAGCTGCCAGCTCCTCTGCTCTTCCGTTATAAGCGTTTTATTTAGGTTATAGGTTTGCACGCCGTGCTGTCGTCCTTTGATTTGCCATAGAGCTATGGGCCCAGTCCCCTGCCCCCTGCATCCTATGCACAATCTTACTGCTCAAAACTTGATCTTTGAAGTACTTAAAGCTCTTTGAAGTGATCCCTTCCTAGGTGGCATGGACCGCCCATAGATCTGCGCCAACTCAGAGGACGAGACAAGGGCAGTCACGGCCACGTGCACTCTCGAAAGTAAAAACCAAAATGTGAAATCTCTTTTTTTATAATGTATATGAACTATTTTATCCAAACTTAATTCGCTATGACTAAATATTCTGCAAGGTGCGTTCCACACTAAACGGAACATCTTGAAAATAAAAGCAACAAAATTGTATTTTATTGCATAATTGTTTTGGTCAATTGATTTGCATTTCAAAGGGTCTTTTGAGGTAACCGCACCCGACGCTGCTTAATTTCGGTGATCGGTGACGAGAACCGATGTATTCAGTATGGTATGGTATGGCGTTGGTCGTTGGCGAAAGCCTGAGAGCTGAACGTTGGTTTTCCAAAACTGACAAAACTATTTTTAGTCCAAACGGTTTAACGAAACCGATACATTTACAAATGACTTGCATCTACTGGCAAGGATTGTATGGCTATCCTGCCCTTAATTTATTACTTTATTTAAAAGAAAAACCAAATTCCGTTCGCCAGCAAACATTACGTTTTGATTACCTTTAGCTTTAATTTTCATTTAATATTAATTTTTGCATGTAGCTTTGCCAAAATAAACCAAAGGGCAACTAAAAATGAAAAAATAAAAATAAAAACGAAACGAAAAAGCGGTAAAAGGCAAAAAGTTGGTGACGAAGCCAACAACACGCGGTGTTCCCAAGCGGTCCCCCATCTAAGTACTAACCGCGCCCGACGCTGCTTAATTTCGGTGATCGGACGAGAACCGATGTATTCAGCGTAGTATGGTCGTTGGCGAAAGCCTGAGAGCTGAACGTTGGTTTTCCATAACCAATAAGACTATTTTTAGTCCAAACGGTTCAACGCCCAGTGTCTAACAATTCCAAAAACGTTCTGGGTAACCGAAGCTGTATTTGATTCCCATTGGTTCAAATCATACTGTACTACTGTAATCTCACGAGAAAAATGTTTGTTGACGGCGTATTGAATGTATCCTCTATCAATTGTCTAGATATTTTTACATGCATTAAGAAATACCGTTCAACTTCTTCTTCTTCTTAGTTTATTGGTCGTGAATTCTGTAAATTGCACCTTCGAGAAATTTATTGGACTGATTTTTTTGATCAGCATTTTTAGCTAATTTTTATTCGCTTGTCAATATCGAAAATGGTGTTTCTTTGGGAAAATGTTTTGTGGCCCTGAAAAGGGCCTTTTTGTCGTAGGTTCTGCAAGAGAAACAGATTTACTTGGAGCTGGTGTACTTGGTGACAGCCTTGGTTCCCTCACTAACAGCGTGCTTGGCCAACTCTCCCGGCAGCAGCAGGCGCACAGCAGTTTGGATTTCCCGACTGGTGATGGTCGAACGCTTGTTGTAATGAGCCAAGCGAGACGCCTCGGCGGCAATGCGCTCGAAGATGTCATTGACAAAGCTGTTCATGATGCTCATCGCTTTCGACGAAATACCAGTGTCAGGGTGGACTTGCTTCAGAACTTTGTAAATATAGATGGCATAGCTCTCCTTCCTCTTGCGCTTCTTCTTCTTGTCGGTCTTGGTGATGTTCTTCTGAGCCTTTCCAGCCTTTTTGGCTGCCTTTCCACTAGTCTTGGGCGGCATTTTAGTTCACTTCCACGTATACAGTTTATGCTTTGCGGACTTAGCCGACAAGACCTTATACTTTTATTCGAGCAGTCTGTTCAAGTTGAGCATACAGGCGTAAAACCCACCCCTAGGTTGAACTCCCCTGCAGACGGAAAAAGTATATATACCGAGCGATCGGAAATCGGCTGCATCAACATTCAACATTCGTTTGTGAACGTTTCTAGTGAAAATCAACAACAAATACTCGCAAAATGTCTGGTCGTGGTAAAGGTGGCAAAGTGAAGGGAAAGGCAAAGTCTCGTTCGAACCGTGCTGGTCTTCAGTTCCCAGTGGGTCGTATTCATCGTCTGCTGCGCAAGGGCAACTATGCCGAGCGTGTCGGTGCCGGCGCTCCTGTCTACCTGGCTGCCGTGATGGAATACTTGGCCGCTGAAGTTCTTGAGTTGGCAGGCAATGCTGCCCGTGATAACAAGAAGACGAGAATTATCCCTCGCCATCTGCAGCTGGCCATCCGCAACGACGAGGAGTTGAACAAGCTGCTCTCAGGCGTCACCATTGCTCAGGGTGGAGTCTTGCCCAACATCCAGGCCGTTCTGCTGCCCAAGAAGACCGAGAAGAAGGCATAAATGTTCCAATAGCAACCTACACACAAACCCAAACGTCCTTTTCAGGACGACCAACCCATGGCTAAAGAACTAAGAGAATTTTCATAATTTATTATCATTCTAAAGTATAATCTACTTCGGCTTCATTGCATATCAACGTGAAGACAATCTAAAAATAATAATAATAACTACATATTTATGCAGGCCAAACAGTCGAATTTCTGTTCATTGATAACGAAGAAGGTACCAGGGCCTACGAAGTACAGTTGTGCTCGTTTCGCCTGAAAGACGATTGAAATATGCCAACGGAATTCAAGGGACTGAGTGTCTGGGGGAGGGACCATATTTCGACTACCTACGCGTGTACCTGAGGTCAAGATCCCTTTCCAGTGCATTTCCGAACCCTATTTCACATGGCGAATTATACCTAAGCAATATCCCTCGCCAGGTATGCGCACAATTCGGTCCTTTTCAGGACGACCAATCCATGGCTAGGGAATTAAGAACACTTTCATTATTTGTTTTCATTCTGAAGTACATAAAATGGGCCCAAGAAAGTACAGTTGTGCTCGGCACGTCTGAAAGACGAATTCTAGGGTATTTAAATATAAATATGTACAACCAATAACCATGCCATGCTGAATGCACTGGTTCGTTTTCTCCGATCGCTTAGATGGGAGATGTTGGCTTGGCAATCGGTTAATTTGTTCTGCTATGAATCTTCCGTTACGTTACAACGTCTATTGGTAAAATTGAATTCTTGAAAATATGCCTCTTTTAGATTATATTGTGGTCCTGAAAAGGACCGATTGTTTACTTTGTGGATACTTTTGAACAGCGGACTGTACACAGTTTCTTAACCGCCGAAGCCGTACAGCGTGCGACCTTGTCTCTTCAGAGCATACACCACATCCATGGCTGTGACTGTCTTCCTCTTGGCGTGTTCGGTGTAGGTGACGGCATCACGGATAACGTTTTCCAAAAACACCTTCAGCACTCCACGAGTCTCCTCGTAGATGAGTCCGGAGATACGTTTTACACCGCCACGACGAGCCAAACGGCGGATAGCGGGCTTCGTGATACCCTGGATGTTATCGCGCAGAACCTTGCGATGACGCTTAGCGCCTCCCTTACCCAAGCCTTTGCCACCTTTACCACGACCAGTCATTTTTCAATATGCTTGTTTCACTTTACGTATGTCAGGAACGAATGTTTAGTCAGGTAACCCTCTCACTGCTATTTATACCAAAACGCCATAGAAAAACGAGTGAGTCCGAATGATGTGTGCATCTCGCTCGGCTGATCTCGCTCTCTCGTTTCAACCCTCCACCAGCACAGAAGAATGCTATATAAGCTAGCACTGGGTTCAGCGACAGCTTATTGTGAATTCGAATTTCAAACGTTGACAGTGAAAATGGCCCGTACCAAGCAGACTGCTCGTAAATCCACTGGTGGCAAGGCGCCACGCAAACAACTGGCTACCAAGGCCGCACGTAAGAGTGCTCCAGCAACCGGTGGCGTAAAGAAACCTCATCGTTATCGCCCTGGCACCGTTGCCCTGCGTGAAATCCGTCGTTACCAGAAGAGTACCGAGCTGCTGATCCGCAAACTGCCTTTCCAGCGGTTGGTTCGTGAAATCGCTCAAGACTTCAAAACCGACTTGCGTTTCCAGAGCTCGGCAGTAATGGCACTGCAGGAAGCTAGCGAAGCCTATCTGGTCGGTCTCTTCGAAGATACCAACTTGTGTGCCATCCATGCCAAGCGTGTCACAATCATGCCCAAGGACATCCAACTGGCCAGACGTATTCGTGGCGAGCGTGCTTAAGTCCACATTTTCTTCGACAAGCGCATATAAACTTTATACAAATCGGTCCTTTTCAGGACCACAAAATAACTTACATTGAGATTTTATTATTTCTGCATATGTGTATAGTATGTACAGCTGTTCAATGAAATAGTAGTGCCGGCACCTAGCCATTTTCAAAACTGCGACATTTTCAGTTATACTAATTGAAACAATTATGCCTTTTTGAATAGACTGGAACGTAAGAATTAGAACAACAAGAGTTCCATTGCACTTTGTTGTTTTGCATGACTTTAGACGAGACCCATGAGTATTTCAGGTCAGGTCATTATCCTATTGAAAGACATTTTTCAGCTCAAATTGGATTGTAAAGTACATATTCTCAGATGTACCACATACATCCCCCCGGGGCCCAGCTCGCCCCGCCCCCGGCCCAATCCTGCGTCCGCTCCGCCGATCATCCTGGCGCTTCAGCCCTCGAAGTTACTGGGGGGGGGGGTTGTGGCCCCTCCCCAAAAAAATCACGCCAGCTATAAGGACATTGGAGCTGGGCCCATAGGGCTCGGCCCAGCACGCCCAATGCAATTATTATACCCAATTTTGTAGTTACCAAAAGATGTAGTAAAAACAAATGTAAGCAGACAAAAATCATACTGACTGAGTACGGGTGTAAAAGTAGAGCCGCGGCATATGCGTGCGCTCACAACGTTCCACTTCCTTTTTTGTTTATTTTAGGTATTGTAGTGAATAAAGATAGTACTCGTATTATTGTTCCAAAATAAAATATGTTGGATTTTGTCTCTGCTTCGTTCTTGGCTGTTTAAATACGCAATTTGAAGGAACGAAATTTAATGAATGAATGATCCGTATTAAATGTATTAACAGACGTATGTATGTACATTCCTGCGGTCCGAAGGACCACTTGGCGAAGATGTTTATCTTGTTATTTTCATTGAAGAATTGTATACAGCTGGATGGAACTGATTATACAAATTTTGAAATTGTTAATTAAAAATGTGTGTTAGCTCCGTAATAAGAAGTGTATTAAATAAGATTAGATTGGTGCGATATACACAGTTTAAAGTTTTCATTATTTGGGGAAAAAATGTATGACTTTGTCAGAAACAAACTGCTGAAGCTGTGGAATTAGAAATGAATAGAAACCCCTTTTATTTACTTTTTGACGGATTACATTTGCTTGTGAATATCATTTTAACCTAATTTTAGTATTATCCACGCTTTTCCAATGACCAATGAATTAAATATTTTGAAATATCAAAGATATGCAAAGGCTTTTGAAACTACCAATGGAAACGTTTGATTTTTACTTTGAGATTTTTTAAATTGACACTGCTATGTGGGTATGAAAGTATGATATTTTTGGGTAAATATTTGCAAAAATGGATGAGAAATACTATTAAATGGAAAATCGTATTGATTTCCTTAAGAAAAATGGCTCAAAATAGCATAGTTTTAAACATTTATATCTTTATAGCCCTAAATTCAATGCTGAACATACCCAGAAAATAGCCTTTTTGTACTCTATAGGGTTATCTTTAAAACGATATTAAGATACCATACTAACCAATATTTGAATATCTGCTTAAAGTTTTTTAAAGTAAATTGATCAAATTTTATGTTTCAAAAATAGATTTTGCAAAATGAGCTAAAATTGTTATTTATAAATATTATTGAATCCAAAATATAAGAGTTGGATAACTAGTTGTCAAAGTTTGCACAGGTATTAAAAGTCGATAATGGACGATATTTACCAAATAAATTATTTAAAATAGAAATTGAAACATTCACGAATCTGATTAAATAAAAATGTATTTCCATTACTTAATAATAATATACTAAAAAGTAGAAATAAGTCAGACGCTCAATGAAACTTCTGCAATACAAATCACCAATGCTAAAATCATCTTCGTGCTGCCCTTCTACTCGCTTCTCATTCGAACAAGGGACCATAGGCCCCCGCCGCGTTTTGCAACTAAAAAGTGTAATTTTGTAAAGAATAATGTCTGATTCCGCAGTTGCAACATCCGCGTCTCCAGTGGCTGCTCCACCAGTAGCAGCGGAGAAGAAGGTGGCCTCTAAAAAGGCGTCTGGATCCGCTGCGGCTACTGCAAAGGCAAAGAAGCCCACAGCTCCACCATCGCATCCCCCAACTCAGCAAATGGTTGACGCTTCGATTAAGAGCTTGAAGGAACGTGGCGGCTCATCGCTCCTGGCCATCAAGAAATATATTACTGCCGAATACAAATGCGATGCCCAGAAACTAGCTCCATTTATCAAGAAGTACTTGAAGTCGGCCGTTGCCAATGGAAAGCTGATCCAAGCAAAGGGGAAAGGTGCCTCTGGTTCGTTCAAGCTGTCGGCTTCCGCCAAAAAGGAGCCCAAGCCAAAGGTTGTGTCGACTGTGGAGAAGAAAGTGAAAGCCAAGAAGGTGGTGTCATCGGCAGCAGCAAAGAAGACAGCAGCCCCCAAAAAAGCAGCCGGAGCCGGTGACAAGAAGCTAAATGCAAAGAAGACAGTCGCCACCGCCACCAAGAAGACAGCCGAGAAGAAGAAAACTGAGAAGGCAAAGGCCAAGGATGTGAAGAAAGCTGGAACCGTGAAGGCGAAGCCAGCAGCGGCAAAGGCCAAGTCGAGCCCTGCAAAGCCAAAACCAAAAGCTAAGGCTGCAGCGGCGTCTGCCAAGCCCAAGAAGGTGACGAAAAAGCCAGCCGCTCCCGCCACCGTAAAGAAGCCGAAAGCAAAGACGACGGCGGCCAAGAAGTAAATTTTAGATGATCGTACATCTGAAATTGATTTAAACAAGCCCTTTTCAGGGCTACAAAACTATATCAAAAGAGATACAAATTATCCGGCAGAGCCCCCCTTCATTTATAGACAATAACAGATACTATTTTAGATTCTTAGCCTGACAGCGAAAGAACATGCTATTGAAAATGGTTTTGCTTTTAAAAATATTCTCGCAGCATTATTGGCACAAGGCCTTATCAGCCTATATCGAAAAACGTTCACCACTCAAATTTTTTGTATAGCTGGGAACATTATGGGGTCACCTTTTTTGTCGATACTTTGGGTGTCCAAAGATCTGTTATGAGCAGGCAACAGGCGACAATCTTTTGTGGCATCATCTTCATACATACATACATATATCCATGATTCGTCCTATGTTACGATTTCAAAAACGTTCTGGGTAACCGAAGCTGTGTTTGATTCCCATTTGTTCAAATCATACTGTACTACTGTAATCTCACGAGAAAAATTATTGTTGACGGCGTATTGAATGTATCCTCTATCAATTGTCTAGATATTTTTACATGCATTAAGAAATACCGTTCAACTTCTTCTTCTTCTTAGTTTATTGGTCGTGAATACTGTAAATTGCACCTTCGAGAAATTTATTGGACTGATTTTTTTGATCAGCATTTTTAGCTAATTTTTATTCGCTTGTCAATATCGAAAATGGTGTTTCTTTGGGAAAATGTTTTGTGGCCCTGAAAAGGGCCTTTTGTCGTAGGTTCTGCAGAGAAACAGATTTACTTGGAGCTGGTGTACTTGGTGACAGCCTTGGTTCCCTCACTAACAGCGTGCTTGGCCAACTCTCCCGGCAGCAGCAGGCGCACAGCAGTTTGGATTTCCCGACTGGTGATGGTCGAACGCTTGTTGTAATGAGCCAAGCGAGACGCCTCGGCGGCAATGCGCTCGAAGATGTCATTGACAAAGCTGTTCATGATGCTCATCGCTTTCGACGAAATACCAGTGTCAGGGTGGACTTGCTTCAGAACTTTGTAAATATAGATGGCATAGCTCTCCTTCCTCTTGCGCTTCTTCTTCTTGTCGGTCTTGGTGATGTTCTTCTGAGCCTTTCCAGCCTTTTTGGCTGCCTTTCCACTAGTCTTGGGCGGCATTTTAGTTCACTTCCACGTATACAGTTTATGCTATGCGGACTTAGCCGACAAGACCTTATACTTTTATTCGAGCAGTCTGTTCAAGTTGAGCATACAGGCGGAAAACCCACCCCTAGTTTGAACTCCCCTGCAGACGGAAAAGGTATATATTCTGAGGGATCGGAATTTTAGACCAACATTCAACATTCAACATTCGTTTGTGAACGTTTCTAGTGAAAATCAACAAATACTCGCAAAATGTCTGGTCGTGGTAAAGGTGGCAAGGTGAAGGGAAAGGCAAAGTCTCGTTCGAACCGTGCTGGTCTTCAGTTCCCAGTCGGTCGTATTCATCGTCTGCTGCGCAAGGGCAACTATGCCGAGCGTGTCGGTGCCGGCGCTCCTGTCTACCTGGCTGCCGTGATGGAATACTTGGCCGCTGAAGTTCTTGAGTTGGCAGGCAATGCTGCCCGTGATAACAAGAAGACGAGAATTATCCCTCGCCATCTGCAGCTGGCCATCCGCAACGACGAGGAGTTGAACAAGCTGCTCTCAGGCGTCACCATTGCTCAGGGTGGAGTCTTGCCCAACATCCAGGCCGTTCTGCTGCCCAAGAAGACCGAGAAGAAGGCATAAATGTTCCAATAGCATCCTACACACAAACCCAAACGTCCTTTTCAGGACGACCAACCCATGGCTAAAGAACTAAGAGAATTTTCATAATTTATTATCATTCTAAAGTATAATCTACTTCGGCTTCATTGCATATCAACGTGAAGACAATCTAAAAATAATAATAATAACTACATATTTATGCAGGCCAAACAGTCGAATTTCTGTTCATTGATAACGAAGAAGGTACCAGGGCCTACGAAAAGTACAGTTGTGTTCGACTTGGCTAAAAGACGAATGAAATATGCCAACGGAATTCAAGGGACTGAGTGTCTGGGGGAGGGACCATATTTCGACTACCTATGCGTGTACCTGAGGTCAAGATCAAGATCCCTTTTCCAGTGCATTTGCGAACCCTATTTTACAGGGCGAATTATACCTAAGCAATATCCCTCGCCAGGTATGCGCACAATTCGGTCCTTTTCAGGACGACCAATCCATGGCTAGGGAATTAAGAACACTTTCATTATTTGTTTTCATTCTGAGGTACATAAAATGGGCCCAAGAAAGTACAGTTGTGCTCGGCACGTCTGAAAGACGAATTCTAGGGTATTTAAATATAAATATGTACAACCAATAACCATGCCATGCTGAATGCACTGGTTCGTTTTCTCCGATCGCTTAGATGGGAGAAGTTGGCTTGGCAATCGGTTAATTTGTTCTGCTATGAATCTTCCGTTACTTTATAATATTAATATCAACGTCTATTAGTAAAATTGAATTCTTGAAAATATGCCTCTTTTAGATTATATTGTGGTCCTGAAAAGGACCGATTGTTTACTTTGTGGATACTTTTGAACAGCGGACTGTACACAGTTTCTTAACCGCCGAAGCCGTACAGCGTGCGACCTTGTCTCTTCAGAGCATACACCACATCCATGGCTGTGACTGTCTTCCTCTTGGCGTGTTCGGTGTAGGTGACGGCATCACGGATAACGTTTTCCAAAAACACCTTCAGCACTCCACGAGTCTCCTCGTAGATGAGTCCGGAGATACGTTTTACACCGCCACGACGAGCCAAACGGCGGATAGCGGGCTTCGTGATACCCTGGATGTTATCACGCAGAACCTTGCGATGACGCTTAGCGCCTCCCTTACCCAAGCCTTTGCCACCTTTACCACGACCAGTCATTTTTCAATATGCTTGTTTCACTTTACGGATGTCAGGAACGAATGTTTAGACAGGTAACCCTCTCACTGCTATTTATACCAAAACACCATAGAAAAACGAGTGAGTCCGAATGATGTGTGCATCTCGCTCGGCTGATCTCGCTCTCTCGTTTCAACCCTCCACCAGCACAGAAGAATGCTATATAAGCTAGCACTGGGTTCAGCGACAGCTTATTGTGAATTCGAATTTCAAACGTTGACAGTGAAAATGGCCCGTACCAAGCAGACTGCTCGTAAATCCACTGGTGGCAAGGCGCCACGCAAACAACTGGCTACCAAGGCCGCACGTAAGAGTGCTCCAGCAACCGGTGGCGTGAAGAAACCTCATCGTTATCGCCCTGGCACCGTTGCCCTGCGTGAAATCCGTCGTTACCAGAAGAGTACCGAGCTGCTGATCCGCAAACTGCCTTTCCAGCGGTTGGTTCGTGAAATCGCTCAAGACTTCAAAACCGACTTGCGTTTCCAGAGCTCGGCAGTAATGGCACTGCAGGAAGCTAGCGAAGCCTATCTGGTCGGTCTCTTCGAAGATACCAACTTGTGTGCCATCCATGCCAAGCGTGTCACAATCATGCCCAAGGACATCCAACTGGCCAGACGTATTCGTGGCGAGCGTGCTTAAGTTGACATTTCTTCGACAAGCGCATATAAACTTTATACAAATCGGTCCTTTTCAGGACCACAAATAACTTACATTGAGATTTTTTATTTCTGCATATGTGTATAGTATGTACAGCTGTTCAATGAAATAGTAGTGCCGGCACCTAGCCATTTTCAAAACTCTGCGACATTTTCATTTATACTAATTGAAACAATTATACCTTTTTGAATAGACTGGAACGTAAGAATTAGAAAAACAAGAGTTCCATTGCACTTTGTTGTTTTGCATGACTTTAGACGAGACCCATGAGTATTTCAGGTCAGGTCATTATCCTATTGAAAGATATTTTTCAGCTCAAATCCAATTTAAAGTAAAGCCCATATTCTCAGATGTACCAACATACACTTTTTTTTCAATACTTCAACGCCAGACTAAAAGGTACTAGTTAATTTGAGCTTTTGAGCAATTATTATACCCGTACTCGAAGAGTTTAGGGGTATATTAGATTTTTGGTCAAAGTGGATGTGTGTAACGCAGAGACGGAAACGTTTCCGACCCCATAAAGTGTATGTACATATATATTCTTGGTCAGCATCAATAGCAGAGTCGAAGTCAGACTGTCTGTCCGTCTTGATGAGAGCTTAGTTCTCAGAGACTCCCCTTTCGACCCAACAAAAGACGAAAATCCGTGGCGTCCACAATTTTGAAGATGCAAGAAAACGGAAAATGTATCGTAGTATCGTAGAGAATGACCGTATCTACCAGATTGTCAAATCTGGCTAAGATCAGATCAATATTGTACCCAGAATGAAGAAATAAATTTTCAGTTGCGGTGGAGATGTAAAATCTACATGTAGTAGAATGTAGTAAAAACAAATGTAAGCAGATAAAATATGTAAAAATTCGATAAAAATCATACCGACTGAGTACGGGTGTAAAAGTAGAGCCGCGGCATATGCGTGCGCTCACAACGTTCCACCAAATTTTTTTTTTCTTTTTTTGATTTTAGGTGGTGTAGTACATATGTATGTAGTATACATAGTAGTATATAGTATAACTGATTAAACAAATTTTGAAATAGTTAATTAAAAATGTGTGTTAGCTCCGTAATAATAAGTGTATTGAATAAGATTAGATTGGTGCGATATACGTAGGTTTAAAGTTTTCATTTATTTGGGGAAAAAAACTATGATTTTGTCAGAAACATATAGCTGAAGCTATGGAATTAGAAAAGAATAGAAACCCTTTTTATTTACTTTTTGACGGATTACATTGGTTTGTGAATATCCTTTTAACGTAATTTTAGTATTATCCACGCTTTTCGAATGACCAATGAATTAAATGTTTTGAAATATCAAAGATATGCAAAGGCTTTTGAAACTACCGATAGAAAGACTAGTACGTAATAAAAGGTCATTTAAAAATAGAAATATATGAACATATAATTTACAAAAGTAATGGAAAAATGTTTTAAGGCTTGTAAAAATTGCTGCAGACAACAAAATTTGTAAATATTGATGGTTTCGATTTTTACTTTGAGATTAATTAAATTGCCACTGCTATTTGGGTATGAAAGTATGCTATTTTTGGGTGAATATTTGCAGAAATGGATCAGAAATAATATTAAATGGAAAATCGTATTGATTTCCTTAAGAAAAATGGCTCAAAATAGCATAGTTTTAAACATTTATATCTTTATAGCCCTAAATTCAATGCTGAACATACCCAGAAAATAGCCTTTTTGTACTCTATAGGGTTATCTTTAAAACGATATTAAGATACCATACTAACCAATATTTGAATATCTGCTTAAAGTTTTTTAAAGTAAATTGATCAAATTTTATGTTTCAAAAATAAGTTTTGTAAAATGAGCTAAAATTGTTATTTAAAAATATTATTGAATCCAAAATATAAGAGTTGGATAACTACTTGTCAAAGTTTGCACAGGTATTAAAAGTCGATAATGGACCATATTTACCAAATAAATTATTTAAAATAGAAATTTAAACATTTACGAATCTGATTCAATAAAAATGTATTTCCATTACTTAATAATAATATACTAAAAAGTAGAAATAAGTCAGACGCTCAATGAAACTTCTGCAATACAAATCACCAATGCTAAAATCATCTTCGTGCTGCCCTTCTACTCGCTTCTCATTCGAACAAGGGACCATAGGCCCCCGCCGCGTTCGCAACTAAAAAGTGTAATTTTGTAAAGAATAATGTCTGATTCCGCAGTTGCAACATCCGCGTCTCCAGTGGCTGCTCCACCAGTAGCAGCGGAGAAGAAGAAGGTGGCCTCTAAAAAGGCGTCTGGATCCGCTGCGGCTACTGCAAAGGCAAAGAAGCCCACAGCTCCACCATCGCATCCCCCAACTCAGCAAATGGTTGACGCTTCGATTAAGAGCTTGAAGGAACGTGGCGGCTCATCGCTCCTGGCCATCAAGAAATATATTACTGCCGAATACAAATGCGATGCCCAGAAACTAGCTCCATTTATCAAGAAGTACTTGAAGTCGGCCGTTGCCAATGGAAAGCTGATCCAAGCAAAGGGGAAAGGTGCCTCTGGTTCGTTCAAGCTGTCGGCTTCCGCCAAAAAGGAGCCCAAGCCAAAGGTTGTGTCGACTGTGGAGAAGAAAGTGAAAGCCAAGAAGGTGGTGTCATCGGCAGCAGCAAAGAAGACAGCAGCCCCCAAAAAAGCAGCCGGAGCCGGTGACAAGAAGCTAAATGCAAAGAAGACAGTCGCCACCGCCACCAAGAAGACAGCCGAGAAGAAGAAAACTGAGAAGGCAAAGGCCAAGGATGTGAAGAAAGCTGGAACCGTGAAGGCGAAGCCAGCAGCGGCAAAGGCCAAGTCGAGCCCTGCAAAGCCAAAACCAAAAGCTAAGGCTGCAGCGGCGTCTGCCAAGCCCAAGAAGGTGACGAAAAAGCCAGCCGCTCCCGCCACCGTAAAGAAGCCGAAAGCAAAGACGACGGCGGCCAAGAAGTAAATTGCGAAAATGTGCACGTTGGTGTACACGGTCGCATCCGAAATTTTAGATGATCGTACATCTGAAATTGATTTAAACAAGCCCTTTTCAGGGCTACAAAACTATATCAAAAGAGATACAAATTATCCGGCAGAGCCCCCCTTCATTTATAGACAATAACAGATACTATTTTAGATTCTTAGCCTGACAGCGAAAGAACATGGTATTGAAAATGGTTTTGCTATTACAAATATTCTCGCAGCATTATTGGTTGCACAAGGCCTTATCAGCCCATATCGAAAAACGTTCACCACTCGAATTTTTTGTATAGCTGGGAACATTATGGGGTCACCTTTTTTGTCGATACTTTGGGTGCCCAAAGATCTGTTATGAGCAGGCAACAGGCGACAATCTTTTGTGGCATCATGTTCATACATACATACATATATCCATGATTCGTCCTATGTTACGATTTCAAAAACGTTCTGGGTAACCGAAGCTGTGTTTGATTCCCATTTGTTCAAATCATACTGTACTACTGTAATCTCACGAGAAAAATTATTATTGACGGCCTATTGAATGTATCCTCTATCAATTGTCTAGATATTTTTACATGCATTAAGAAATACCGTTCAACTTCTTCTTCTTCTTAGTTTATTGGTCGTGAATACTGTAAATTGCAGCTTCGAGAAATTTATTGGACTGATTTTTTTGATCAGCATTTTTAGCTAATTTTTATTCGCTTGTCAATATCGAAAATGGTGTTTCTTTGGGAAAATGTTTTGTGGCCCTGAAAAGGGCCTTTTTGTCGTAGGTTCTGCAGAGAAACAGATTTACTTGGAGCTGGTGTACTTGGTGACAGCCTTGGTTCCCTCACTAACAGCGTGCTTGGCCAACTCTCCCGGCAGCAGCAGGCGCACAGCAGTTTGGATTTCCCGACTGGTGATGGTCGAACGCTTGTTGTAATGAGCCAAGCGAGACGCCTCGGCGGCAATGCGCTCGAAGATGTCATTGACAAAGCTGTTCATGATGCTCATCGCTTTCGACGAAATACCAGTGTCAGGGTGGACTTGCTTCAGAACTTTGTAAATATAGATGGCATAGCTCTCCTTCCTCTTGCGCTTCTTCTTCTTGTCGGTCTTGGTGATGTTCTTCTGAGCCTTTCCAGCCTTTTTGGCTGCCTTTCCACTAGTCTTGGGCGGCATTTTAGTTCACTTCCACGTATACAGTTTATGCTTTGCGGACTTAGCCGACAAGACCTTATACTTTTATTCGAGCAGTCTGTTCAAGTTGAGCATACAGGCGTAAAACCCACCCCTAGGTTGAACTCCCCTGCAGACGGAAAAAGTATATATACCGAGGGATCGGAATTAGCCAACATTCAACATTCAACATTCGTTTGTGAACGTTTCTAGTGAAAATCAACAACAAATACTCGCAAAATGTCTGGTCGTGGTAAAGGTGGCAAGGTGAAGGGAAAGGCAAAGTCTCGTTCGAACCGTGCTGGTCTTCAGTTCCCAGTGGGTCGTATTCATCGTCTGCTGCGCAAGGGCAACTATGCCGAGCGTGTCGGTGCCGGCGCTCCTGTCTACCTGGCTGCCGTGATGGAATACTTGGCCGCTGAAGTTCTTGAGTTGGCAGGCAATGCTGCCCGTGATAACAAGAAGACGAGAATTATCCCTCGCCATCTGCAGCTGGCCATCCGCAACGACGAGGAGTTGAACAAGCTGCTCTCAGGCGTCACCATTGCTCAGGTGGAGTCTTGCCCAACATCCAGGCCGTTCTGCTGCCCAAGAAGACCGAGAAGAAGGCATAAATGTTCCAATAGCAACCTACACACAAACCCAAACGTCCTTTTCAGGACGACCAACCCATGGCTAAAGAACTAAGAGAATTTTCATAATTTATTATCATTCTAAAGTATAATCTACTTCGGCTTCATTGCATATCAACGTGAAGACAATCTAAAAATAATAATAATAACTACATATTTATGCAGGCCAAACAGTCGAATTTCTGTTCATTGATAACGAAGAAGGTACCAGGGCCTACAAAGTACAGTTGTGTTCGACTCGGCTAAAAGACGAATGAAATATGCCAACGGAATTCAAGGGACTGAGTGTCTGGGGGAGGGACCATATTTCGACTACCTACGCGTGTACCTGAGGTCAAGATCCCTTTTCCAGTGCATTTCCGAACCCTATTTTACAAGGCGAATTATACCTAAGCAATATCCCTCGCCAGGTATGCGCACAATTCGGTCCTTTTCAGGACGACCAATCCATGGCTAGGGAATTAAGAACATTTTCATTATTTGTTTTCATTCTGAAGTACATAAAATGGGCCCAAGAAAGTACAGTTGTGCTCGGCACGTCTGAAAGACGAATTCTAGGGTATTTAAATATAAATATGTACAACCAATAACCATGCCATGCTGAATGCACTGGTTCGTTTTCTCCGATCGCTTAGATGGGAGATGTTGGCTTGGCAATCGGTTAATTTGTTCTGCTATGAATCTTCCGTTACTTTATAATATTAATATCAACGTCTATTAGTAAAATTGAATTCTTGAAAATATGCCTCTTTTAGATTATATTGTGGTCCTGAAAAGGACCGATTGTTTACTTTGTGGATACTTTTGAACAGCGGACTGTACACAGTTTCTTAACCGCCGAAGCCGTACAGCGTGCGACCTTGTCTCTTCAGAGCATACACCACATCCATGGCTGTGACTGTCTTCCTCTTGGCGTGTTCGGTGTAGGTGACGGCATCACGGATAACGTTTTCCAAAAACACCTTCAGCACTCCACGAGTCTCCTCGTAGATGAGTCCGGAGATACGTTTTACACCGCCACGACGAGCCAAACGGCGGATAGCGGGCTTCGTGATACCCTGGATGTTATCACGCAGAACCTTGCGATGACGCTTAGCGCCTCCCTTACCCAAGCCTTTGCCACCTTTACCACGACCAGTCATTTTTCAATATGCTTGTTTCACTTTACGGATGTCAGGAACGAATGTTTAGTCAGGTAGCCCTCTCACTGCTATTTATACCAAAACGCCATAGAAAAACGAGTGAGTCCGAATGATGTGTGCATCTCGCTCGGCTGATCTCGCTCTCTCGTTTCAACCCTCCACCAGCACAGAAGAATGCTATATAAGCTAGCACTGGGTTCAGCGACAGCTTATTGTGAATTCGAATTTCAAACGTTGACAGTGAAAATGGCCCGTACCAAGCAGACTGCTCGTAAATCCACTGGTGGCAAGGCGCCACGCAAACAACTGGCTACCAAGGCCGCACGTAAGAGTGCTCCAGCAACCGGTGGCGTGAAGAAACCTCATCGTTATCGCCCTGGCACCGTTGCCCTGCGTGAAATCCGTCGTTACCAGAAGAGTACCGAGCTGCTGATCCGCAAACTGCCTTTCCAGCGGTTGGTTCGTGAAATCGCTCAAGACTTCAAAACCGACTTGCGTTTCCAGAGCTCGGCAGTAATGGCACTGCAGGAAGCTAGCGAAGCCTATCTGGTCGGTCTCTTCGAAGATACCAACTTGTGTGCCATCCATGCCAAGCGTGTCACAATCATGCCCAAGGACATCCAACTGGCCAGACGTATTCGTGGCGAGCGTGCTTAAGTTGACATTTCTTCGACAAGCGCATATAAACTTTATACAAATCGGTCCTTTTCAGGACCACAAATAACTTACATTGAGATTTTTTATTTCTGCATATGTGTATAGTATGTACAGCTGTTCAATGAAATAGTAGTGCCGGCACCTAGCCATTTTCAAAACTCTGCGACATTTTCAGTTATACTAATAGAAACGAGAAGGATCGTGTGAGTCGCTTCAGGGGACGCGACTCTACTTATACCCGTACTCAGTCAGTATATACATATTTGAGCTTATGATTTTTTAGAATTTTAGAACTAAAAATAAAAATTTTTGCTATATCTGTTATCTACATCTACAATGTATATTCAACATCTACAATGTATATTCTACATCTGACATGTAGATTATAGATGTATCATTTAGATTATACATCTCCTCCGCTGGCGGGCACTCGCGTACTGAACGAGGCAGAGTGTGCGAGCGAGTAGCGGGTCTCTTGCTGGAGGAGGTGGGGGTTTGTTTTCGGTTTGTTTCCAACACAAACAAAATATATCTGTAATACTTAACTTACAACGACCCGTCTCTCTACGATAATACTTGTCGTATTGAGTCCGTACGGTCTTTCAAGGATTTTTAGCCATTTTAGTGCGAGATGGTCGGTGATGATATCGAACCTGCAGTCGTCGAGGTAGCATCGTAGTTTTCTGATCACCCATATGAAAAATAAAAATTCTCTGAAAAATAGGAATTTATTGACAAAGTTTATAACACGGCAGCAACGGCAAGTGAAAATCTGACGGTATTTGCTCAATATTCATTTCAAATAGATCAAACCAATAACAGCTGTTATTTTTACATTTTATTTATTTCCCACGCCCACCCCACCCACTTTTCCAATTCCTCATTTATGATGCGGCAGGTCATCTCATGTCGCTACATCAGTTGGCACCATATGCTTAGTGTATACTAGATTTCATAATGTGACCATATACAAATATTGTTAAACCGTTTTTTTTACCTTTTTTTTCCAATTCGGACAAAGTTTTGGGTGTCTGCTTTCATGTACAAACGTTGATGATGTGCTTAAGATTCTTGATCGGACTGAGATCAGAACCATTTCCCGGCCAGTCCAATGTCCTGATTCCCACCATTGCTAAATAATTTGTACCAAAAAAAAAACTCATCGTTTTAAAAATCAATATTTTGGAATAATTCATAACACAATTCAAAATCCCTTCTTCCGTTAATTTTATTCATAATTAATATTTCTATACAGTCATTTATATTAGCATAAATAAATATAAAAACTGAAAAACAAATAAAACGAGAAGGAACGTGTGAGTCGCTTCTGGAGACGCGACTCTACTTTTATACCCGAACTTAGATAGTATATAAATTTTTGAGCTTTAGATTTATGTAGAATTTTAAGAAGTTTTGCATTTAACTTTATTTTGTTACATCTGTCATCTACATCTAACATGTTTATTCTACATCTGAAATGTAGATAATACATCATAATGT